ACAACTGTCTCCCGCACCTTCATGCACAGCTTGGTGACACCGGCACTACACGAGGGGACCTACACGGGTTTCATACGCAGTAGAGCTCGTCTGCTGCCGGTGTATTAGGGAGCCACACGGGTAAGCCAGGTTCGTCACCTCCGTCATGCCGTAACCCTGTGGGGTCGTTCTGATCGAACGTTCTAGCTGCAGCAGCTACTGGAAGGTACCTTTGACTTTTCTTTAGAGAGGACCTAATATACGGTGCGGTGAGGAACAGATTCGCTTGTCCTTTAAGGCCACAAACGGCAGAGATACACCCGTCTGTTTTCTTCTCCGAATCGAGGGCTGCCGGGAGAAGAATGCTGTACGTAAGGCAGCGCACTTTCCTCAGGTGCACGATGAGGGTCCTGTTGTTTCATCCTAAAGCAAGGGTGAGACGGAGAAAAGTGAATAATATGTACTACTCATCTGCTTTGGTTCAGTCTGCACCTGCATCGCCCGACCTTCCCCTAAAACTGTCTATGATTTCACTGCAGACAGAAGATCTGCAATGCAGTATTTGAGCCAAGCCACCATGTCAGGAACTTGATGCTAACTTTGTAGTAGTCGTCGCATCAGTCTCTTGGGCGAAGAAGCGTTGCATGGCTAAGGTTTGAAGTTGGCAGAATATGGAAAAAGAACATCCTTCTATAACTGCTACATAGTGAATAGACAACGTATATCTGAAGATAAAACCTCGAGCAGATGTAAAATGGAATAAGTGACTGAAGTGGGATTCGAACCCACGCCCGCGAGGACTGCGGCCTGAACGCAGCGCCTTAGACCACTCGGCCATCCAGCCGAGAGCCAGCTACATTGGTTGTCCATTTTTCCATCTACATCAAGCAATGCAGTGCGTTTCCGTAACAGTATGCACTTCATTTTTCATGCGTCGGCTCCCACCATTCTTGCCTCTCAAATATTTTGATGAATGGAGAGGTGACGGCGGGCGTATAGTTGTATACTTGACTTTGACGCGGTGAATGAAAAGCCGAAACAGATCAAAACAAGGAACTTCGTTGAGTACTCACACCAGCGCAAGCAGACTGCTCGCACTCCGAACCCAGCAACTTAGATCTTCACGCACTCCAACCAGCGAGCCTTGCGATCCTTCCTGGCTTTTCTTCCCGGAGCTGGGTGTGTCCTAAGCCGCGGCATTTTTTTCTACAAGAAATAATAAGGAAGACAAGAGATGCCCCTTAGTTCCCCAGTTGCTTCTACAGGCACCTTAGGGAGACCCCGCTGGCCCTCACGCGGTCCCCCCAATGTATCAATAGCCAACCATCATAAGCTTTATGATGCTGTCCAAGTGAAACTTTGGTGCTCCAGAAGCGTTAAAAACCTGCCTAAAAGTGACTGAAGTGGGATTCGAACCCACGCCCGCGAGGACTGCGGCCTGAACGCAGCGCCTTAGACCACTCGGCCATCCAGCCGAGGGGAACAGCCCCATCACAGTTAGTGACAGCAATTGCGCAGAGAGCTGGATGAGCACCAATATTTTTCTGGTAGATTCTTTTATTGCCATTGAAGCATGCTAATTGGCTTTTTACGACTATTACCGTTGAAGCACTGCTGGCACAGAACTGTGGTGCCGTCAAGCCGATTGTCAAGCGTCTGCTCTGGGTTAAAATATACAAGAAGCAGTTTTATGTAGGTCCTTTTCTACTTTCACGTAGAAAACTTCAGAGTACCCGCCGATGGTTCTACTGATCCCTACAGAAGTGCACATGCTATAGTCGTTGGGACTTCGAGCAATCAAATCCGCATTGCATAGGAAGCTATCTTCGGCGAGTTAATCCCATGTCTTACAACAGCAGCGCATGGTAGCGTAACCCTGTGACGTTTGGCAGTTCCCCTGCGTATGAATACACTGTTTGGAGCTCTCAGTTGGTAGGTGCGAGACGGCGAGGAACAGCCTAGTGATTTCTTTGAACTGCTGCCACTTCGCTAGGTGGAAATTCATGATTTTGGACATAGTCCACAGAGCCTCACTCTGTACGCGAATACTTGCATATTCACGCTTCTGCGTGTCCCGAGGTTGCGCGCACAACACGGCCTAGAAGTTAAAATATTCATAATTCCTGTCAGATACTGCACTGCCTGCTGGAATCTACAGTGGTGATAAGTAGATGAGAATATATTTATAAGTGTGAATCATCATCTTCCTTGTACACATTGACCCTCCTTCCTAGAATATACAAACCAATCGGCTTTTTCTGTCGTTGATATAGAACGCTTGCGGCGTTCCTCTTTAGCACTGCATCCTCCTACGTAGTCAGGCAGCGCATTTCCATCTGTTTGCAAGAAGAGTGAACTGCGCCACAGGCTGGCGGCTTATGTGCTGCTACCGTCATCTGTGCCCTCAAGCCGGCGGCTATGCAGCCGCCACTACAAAATTGCGTATGAACGGCAAGTGTCGAACAAAAGTGACTGAAGTGGGATTCGAACCCACGCCCGCTAGGACTGCGGCCTGAACGCAGCGCCTTAGACCACTCGGCCATCCAGCCAAGAGCCCCGGGGAACTGTCATTGCATCAACAGAATGAATTGTTTACGATCTCTTTCAAAAGTACTGGCAGTCTAACGGCAGGCTATCGCTGGTAGCCGTGGGCACTACCCAGTGCAGCTCGTAAAGCTTTGTCTCTCGGATGATGCAAGATACTGCTAGAGTCCCAGACCTCCACAAGTTCGAAAGAATGTCAACCAAGCCTGACAAAAAAAATACGTTTTGCAATGCTCACGCACCCTAGTTTTGTGACATTCAACAAGGCACGTCAAAAACGTGAGCAGATCAAAACGCAAGAGCTCGCGTAAGAATGCCTTCCCAGGCAGCCAGGCGAGAGGGGGCTGTCAAACAGAAAAGACGCAGTCGTGGTGACAGCGCCTCTAGCGGGTATACGCAAACGTTCTTCAGAGATGTATTGGCGAGCCACTGGTCATCTGTTACTTGCCCACACCCGGCAAGACCAGTGAAGGCGCTTCTTGACTTGGTCCGGCTCTTAGCCATGATGTATTGCCTTAAAAAGTGCTCTGCAGCTCCAACACGCTTTGTCGCAGCTATATGGATATGGCTTGGGCTATAAATACAAAACGCAGCATACAACACAGGATGGACTTCCAGACAGGCATTTGTGCGAGGGGTGCGAATTCGCTCCTGCAGCGGCTGTAGCTTGTTCAAATAAACACAAGCGTCATGCAGCCGCTGAGCTTTTCGGATAATTGAATGCAGCAGCTGCACTTGCAGTCCAAATGAAGAAGGCCTCAGGAGCAGAGAGTCATAGCGACACTGCAGCCGTCGTAAGTCGCAATCTCCCTTGCCCTGAGTAGCGTCTGAAGAATACGGCGGCTGCGAAAAATCTGGAAGCGATGGGGTTTGACCCACATGCACTGCTTCAACGTCTGGAGAGGCAACAACTTGATGTGCTTCACCGTTGGCGGTCCGCGTGTTATCATATGACGAATCTTCTGTCTGGCGTTCAGTTGCAAGGATATTCAGATGGGAAACGAAATGAGGGATTCCAAAAGTATCTCTCGTCGAGCAAGCCGGAAATCGTTGCATACGCGTGCCTGAGCTCTTTGAGTCCTCTGAGAACATCCTCAGACTGTGTTGCGCAGGGCGAGCTTGGAGCCGCCTGCACGAGAGGTGGGGAAAAGCTGTGCTGCAAGGACCAGAACGCAGTCCAACTGCGGCTGCTCTAACTTTCGGATGCTTACTATGCTCATCAAAAGGCTGGTAAGTGTGCTTTGGAGCACTGGCTGGTGCCACAACGGTAACGACGGGAACAGTCCCCACGCAGACACTGGGCTGCCTTCCCCCAAGACAACTTGAGTAGCGACAGCTCACCCCACAACGCGCAGAAGCCGGGCGAATTGCACGGACGATTGAAGGCCGGAGGTAAACAAACTCTGTCATCGCTTCCCAGTGTGGCTTCGTCGCTAGCGAAGGCGAGACCGCCAGCATCGTTGGCGCTGGCTAGCTCTTGCGCCCCGTTATCGGGCTGCAAAAACCAAATAACCTCGAAAAGGATATACGACGTGAAAAGCAGCAGTGTTGTCCACTGAGTATTGCTTCAAGCGTACGCCGCGTCAGTGCGGGCATGCGATGGGGGGCCCCTTACGGCGCTGCTGGTGAGGCGGGCACAGACATCCATCAAAGCATCTTGTGCTCTAAATGGTTTTCTCGTAAAATTCTCATTTTCTAATGTCAAGCAAGAGGCAGATAAGCATCAGACTAAAGCGACCCTGCCAAGGCGGTTGGTGGGCCCGGTGATGCCACGGAACCGCAAAGGGTCCTGTTTCCATGAAAATTGGCCAACATACTTGGGAATCGTAAGAGCTTTATACGAAGTTGCTTCCTGAAGAACGTGGCGCTGTGGAATCAGCAAAATCGGCCAATATTTTTGCATGCGACTTGGGCGGGGCTGCTGTAAGTTGTCATCGAGCGCCTCAACGCTTGCTAGGGAAGCTCCTTGGGTAATGCCGATCAATGGAAGGATTTGTGTTGTGTTGAATGTGCTGAATTATTAACAAAGACATTGAACTGAACGGGTGCAGCTTCATGCTCTGCTGCCACACCCCGCTCAGTGTTCGAGCCACTGGCTCTATCGAGGTCCAGCGACAGCGCAGCTGCAGCGCACGCGGTGATTCACTGTGTAGAGTTGCTGAAAACCAAAGCATCTACGAAAACAGATTCCAGAGTACGTGATAATTTTCTTGTGGAGCCACAACAGACGACCACATGCGTCACTCACCACTGCGCCAGACAGATCGGCCAGCGAAAACAGCTTCGATGTGAATGCGTTGTGGAGACTCTGCGAAACTCAAAGACGGGCAGCAGCTTCACATCAGTAGAGATGAGTTCCATCTAGAGTCGGTGGGGAGATTTTGATCGTGCGACAGGTAAGTCTATCTGACGCTGGCCGGAGGCAAAGCCCTCGCCACAGTGAGGAGATTCGTGTCGCGAAATTACCGATCCACTCCATGGGGAACCGCCTGTATCGAAGAAGTCAAAACGATGGTGAGGCAAAAGGGGGACTGACAGGGCAGACGATCGAACGAATTGAAGTAGACCTCCGGTGCAATTTCCAGGCTTTGCTGTGCTTGTTGCGAGGGTTACTGTTAGAGAATTGGGTAGGCACGTTGCTCTTTTTTCCTCGCGAAGAGCGCGACGGTGCGCTCTCTACACACAGCATCCCCCACGGGGCATCCAGCTGATCTTGTACCAACCTTGTGGCACTAACGGATCTGCTTTCGCACAGTATATTCACTTTTCTCTGCAAGCCGCAAGAGGCTGCTTTGCCTTGCTTAAGTGAAATGGCTGGCAAATAACTCTGCACGAGCCAGCCAGAACTTGGTGTAAGCTGCCAGTGTAATGGTGTGTGTTCGCCTTCAAAAGGAAAGACGCCGGCGTTTGGCCCCGGTGGTCTCCATGAAACTCTCCAGTCTCGCAGTGGATCCAGCGTGAAGCGCCTATCTCGAGCACCAGAGAGGCCACCGGCCATAGAAGACGTGTCAGACTCCCTCGTCTCCGGTGTAAGTTGTCTACCGTTGGACTGAAGTGCGGCATTGACAGCGCATTTTTTCTCTCTCACGACTACACTACTAGCTTTTGCGACGCCTATGGATATGCTTTTGTGTCTTGTTGGTCTTTCCACCTAGAGTGAAACACGCGCTACTAAGTGTCTGCCGTTTCCTCTCATCAGGGCGATGCCGTTTCCCAGGATTGGCGGTGGCTTGCCTTGCGGTGCGAGCGGCGCCTGAATGCATCCATGCAACAGCGGACTGCTAAGCAGGCCAAGATTGCGGACACACTTGGTGAGGTAGACGTGGGCCCGGAGTTTCCAGGGGTAGTAGCACTTCTTTGTGGGAGCCTTTTGCTCTTCAAGTGCATTTCTTGTAGTGCCGATACTGCTGGTAGTTGCGCGGAGATCGTCACTTGTCACTTTCTAGCTTTTATTTCTCTCTACCTTGCATCGCAGAAATGGGCAGCAGAGCGGTTGCTTGTGTTGTCTTGTCCTTCAAGGTCATTCACTGGATGTCCGCCAATTTTCCTGTTTCGTGCCCAGGACAGTGCTGGAAGCAATCGCGGATAAGCGCATCAGGTTTGGCAAACTGCTACATCGGTTGGCCGACAAGGCTGCGTATAGTTGCGCACTTGAGGTTTCGCTGTCCGTGCTATGCGACTGACTGTGGAATGTTACAGGTACTCGGACGACTTCGACGTACAAGTTGAGAAGTTTACTGCTGCAGTTGTAAGTCTCCCTCTGCTGGTTTAGTAACGGGGCCTCTGGCTTGCTTGGTGACCGCAGGTTAAGCGCCGATGTGAACAACACTAGTTATCTTCGTGATACGCAGGATCCGCCTGACGTATGCTTGGGACCTCTGCGCGAGCAGCCATATCTGAGTACCCGCTTGTCACTCTTATTGAGTTCAGGTTTTCTGCGACGCCAGCGGCTTCACAGCTCTCACGGAAGCGCTGGACACACAACCAAACGGAGCGGAGCGCCTTGGCGGTGTAAGCTATGGGACTAAAATGTGCTCATTTTGGACGAAACCAAATAGAAAATATTCCTTCAAGCGATTTCGAAGCTGTTTGGAAAGGCTTGACAGGGTTGTGGTCTCAACCAGGGGTAACTGACGTCCATCACTGTCGGCTTGTGCATCCTTCAGATCATTAATCAGTTTTTTGACAAGATCATTCGCATCGTGCATTTTTGGGGCGGCGACATCATCAAATTCAGTGGCGACGCGCTGACGATTGTTTGGCCAGTTGACGACGAAGACGATGATGATGAATGTGCGGCGGCTGCAAGCTGCTAAACGAATTTGAGCACAGTTTCTGTAGAGAGGTCCTGGGGGGAGGGTACAGTCAGTGCGGTTACTACTTGAACAGAGCAACACGGGGAACTGAATGCTGAGCCATGCGCTCTACGTGGCAGTCGAGATTCTTTGTTGCTCTCATCTGCTTGGAGAGCTTTGCCAGCTGTTGCATTCAGATGAGAAGGATGGTGTGGAGGATAATGAGTATCGTGTCGACGCCAGACAAGCTTGCCTTCTAGCAGCCAAGTGCTGCATGAATCTTCATCAGTCTCTTCACAAATACCCAACAGGCTTTGCGGGGAAAACCTTAACCCTTCACATTGGAGCAGGTTTTGGGCGAGTCACTATTCTCCAGGTCAGTTTTTCACGTGACCCTCTGTGCCGCCGGCCTTGACTCAGTTTTCTCCTCCACGTGAGGATACTGCATGCAGCTCTGTGGGAATCATGCAGATGACTGGTGCAGCTCCACGTTAGGACTAACATGCGGACAAGCCGCTCCACATAACTTGTTTGAGAAAAAATCGAAACTCATTACAATCCGGGAGCCTGTCAGCCCTCGTTCTCACTCCAATTTCTTGGCAACTGTGCAGGTTGGGGGTATCATGGATCGATGGGAGTACGTGGTAGCTGGAGCTCCCTTGGAGGAAATTTCTATCGCGGAGCCGCTAGCCAGCACGGGCGAGTTGCTTTTCGAGCATTTGAGGGGTCCCTGGGCAGCCTTACCACCTTCAGAAGCCTTAGGTTTCCCGCTTTAGGCAAACTGGAGACACCCGTTTTCTGCGAAGACTAGCTCACTGGCTTTTGTGCATTTCTACTGTTGCGTGCCTCAGGCGAAACTGTTGTATCTCCTACCATGGCGGAAGCAATGCATGGCGTTGCTTCGCTGGAGCCGGTAAAAGACTCGCCTCCGGGAAGACAATTCTACCGGTTGTTACCTCACGCTGACGATTTAGTCAAGATTGCAAACGAAAAGCGACGTAGCAGCAACGCCAGCGCTGGGGGAGAGGAGCCAAGAAACAACGTTGAAGAAGAGGAGCTTGAAGCAATTCACAGGGTAGCCGACTGGCACGTGTCGCCACCTCCCCCACTGGCGTCCATTGAAGTTGACGCTGACGATGTAGACTTATTGCGGAGGTACGCGTTGACTTTTTCCCAGTTTGTGAGGCTGCACATTCTCGGCCAGTGTTGTATCTAGTACGGAGCCTTACGTTGATGCGTTTTGAGTCGGGCCAATGGATCGCAGGTACATACCGCCGGCCGTTTTCAGAAGGCTAAAGTCTGGCTGCAACGTATTTTTAAATGAACTGCGAACGGTAAGACTCGTTTTTTCAATATTCTAGTCAGACGCTTTCAATTAACAGCTGCGCCTTTTCCAACTTATTGTCGTGTATTCCTGGATGTGTCGCAGGTCTCTGTCATGTTCATTTGTGTTCGGGGACTGGATGTGTCATCTACAACTGGGAGCCAAATTGCCCACAAGCTCATGAAAATGACCCAAAAGGCAGCCTACACCATGGTGCGCTGGCTACAGGCAATTTAGCTCTGTTGCCGTTCTTGCGATGTGGCGCTCACCGCTGAAAAAATAATGCATTCATGGTGTTGGATCCTCTTTGCCGCAGGAAGGCTCTGTCAATAAATTTCTTGTAGACGACAAGGGCGTTTTGCTGCTCGTTATGTTTGGTCTACCACCGGTGTATCACCTCGACGATCCAGTTAGAGGTGACTGCTGATGTAAAATCCGAGCGCATATCTTTGAGGAAAGACTACAGCATGAGCATGGCAGCAGCCTTCCGTTAGCGACGAACAAATCTGCTTACTTCGTTCACTGTGTTGGCTGGTTTCCTACTTTAGCCATTATGGCAGGCCTGCGCGTGATTGACGGCATGAAGATGTTTGGACTTGATGCCGGGATTGGAATCACCAGCGGTCGTGTATGGTGTGGGGTACGCACGACATTGGTAGAATACTTGTAGACAAAGCTGATACAGTAGCGCTTGGCCATAGGCAACTTCAGCTTCGAAGTACGCAGCAGGTGCATTCACAAGCCACTGCTTGGTGTGCAGACTGTGGGAAATGATTTGCGGAAAGAATACACTGCGTTGGGGGACTTTGTCAACCTAGCTGCGAGGCTCATGGCAAAGGCGGGTCCACGCGAAGTATACGTTGACGCGTGAGCAAGTTGCGCAAAACTTCCCAGAAACGTGTGCAAACTGCTAGTCACCTAATCCAAGCAGCAGACGCCCAAAGTATCATGACAGGGTTGGTCGTCTTGGATATGTGTAATATTCAGTGGATGATTTGTGCTGGTGTTGTGTACAACAGCAACACGTACCGCTCTGCCCAACATGCTATGGAATTTCAACAACTTCCGAGCATGATGGTCAAAGGGAAGGAACATCCCATCGAAGTGTACATGCCCACCGGAGCGCTAATCAACAAGGTCCAAACTGGCCCGGAAATGGTAAAACATTCGATTGCATCTCAAAGACACTGCGTGGTTCTCGCTCGTTAAGGCAGCGAAAGCTTCACCTTTTAGCCGTGGTTCGCCATAGTTAGTAATGAGGATTAGAGGCCCCACTGTAGTTCAAGAGGACCATTCGGTCTGTCTATCTATCGCTTGTTTGAAATTGCATGTGAGCATTTTTGTGTGAATGCGTCGCCTTACAATAGGAGCCGCTTTTGTCTTGGCCTGGTTGGCCTTGTCGGAACCAGTTGAAAAGTATTTTGGAGCCGTCTACAATGTATAAAAAGCAAGGAACAGCTGTTCGACCTCCGTTGGACTACCCAGTCCCATGCGGGCCTATCTTCGCTCATGAATGGTGAGATCGCCTGTAGTCAGCACACACATGGGCGCCGTTTATCAACGGCTCCTGCTCGCGCAACAAAGTGCCCTAGCAACGATGAGTACAACACTTTTATTTTTTGTGCGAGTTGCTTCAGGTATGAGCCGTACATGCCTCAGTTGCAACCTTTATTGGAGGTCGGTGGGGTGATGGTGATCAGAGGAAGGGAAGGCCTGGGAGCGAAAGAGCTTGAAGACTACATTCGCGACTTCGGTGAGGAGCTGTGGTGTGAAGTTGTATACCTTGTTTCGCGTTTAGTAGACGTATATGAATTATTTGCTGAGTGCATGCACGAGATGTGGCGTTCTGACTACACTAGAGCCTATGCGCAGAGCGAAAACATCATGCTTGCATTCAACGAAATGTGGCATCTTTGCAGGCTCTAAAAGGTCGAATCGCCAGATGTTCTGCATCAGCAACATGCCGGACTCACCCAACCTTAATATTGGCAATGTTCCCCTGCTTGCATGGAGAAAACTCTGCACTGAAATGGTTGAAGTGAATTTTGGGGGCTAGGATATTCTCCCTGTAGTTCCGGGATGGCTTCAGTGCAAGGGATTAGTCTCTTGTCTTGTGACCGCCTGCTGGTACATGCTTATGTGATGGGATTCCTAGGCGCGCCATGCTTCCAGCTTTCCTGCAGACTTTTATCTGTTTGCGCAGCGGTGGCGGGTCAGTGACAACCGTGAGAAGAAAGGCTATTCGCGCATCGACCGTGACAACTCAGTTTACGGCCTTACTAAAGAGCTTATACATCCTTCTTTTCATTGGTACCTTCCGTTGTAACTGCTGGTGCTTATACACTTCGCCTTTACAAACATAACTTGCAGTTGAGTTTTAATTCAACGTTTCATCGGAAAGCTTTTGTCTCAAAACCTTCGCAGGCGTCTTGAAGAGATGAAAACAGTTGTACATGGATTGGTTTTGCCCCACGAACTGCCAGAAAACCAGCGCCTTGCGAAGGAACGTCGAAAGTGCATGAAACGACTTAGGAAGCAGGTAGGCCATCATGTGGGGACGTCGCACGTATTGTAGCGGTAATTATATGAAGAAACAGACAAAGGCAGCAGCGGCACAAAGCCGTAGTTGTTTTTGATGGTTTGAACTGCAGGGATACGTGCCGATGTCACCCACGATGGCACTTTTGCACAGGCCAGCGGAGTGGGTTGAAGAGGCTGGGCGTCGGATGACACCCGTGCACGCACTCGTCAAAAACATCGGTGTTGATCTGGGACTTGCAGCAGCTGCTTCAGGCACGTCAGCTCACCCACCGTCACGTCAGTCTATTCCAGGTTACTGTGTTAGGTCACAGGGAAACCCACAAAAGCTTGTTTATGAGTTGGTTGGAATATAATTCTTCGTGCACAGATGAGAGCGAGACGTCAGATAGCGACGAATCAACCCCAAGATATTTGTACGGGGTAGGTTTGGCGAAATTTGCACATAAAACGCCACAAAACGCGTCATTAGCATAGCGTCCCCATTAGTTGAGGTGCGAGGGTTCAATTCTTTCCACTGTTCTTCCTGACATTGCACATGATTACCGCGCCAACTGATTTCCCATTGCAGTCAAGCGGGGAGTCGATTGCCCCAATAATAGCATCTCTTGTCAACGGGTTCTCCCTCTTTGAGAGCTCTATTGTTGTTCTACATGTTCGCACCGGCACTAGTGTCTTTGCTGAGGTACGTTTCCAGCCCATATAAAAGCGCTAGGCATGCTTCTCATCCGCACTGCACATTTTGCAACAACATTTTGTTGTGTTTCTCTCTGTATGGGCAACCCTCTCTGCATGTTTTATTTTTGTTTCAACGTAGATGGACCGAGACAGCTGGAGAGTTGCTCGCCTTGTCGCTCGGGTTTCCTTAGTACGGCGCCAACACCGGCTTGACGATGACATGAGGAATTTGAAGGAGTGGCGGTGTAAACACTCGCGAAAATGCTGGTGGTGTACGTATTCAGACACTGCATTTCTAGTGGTTACTTTGGTTTTTCTTCAGCCCTCGGGACACCAAATTCGTGCATTTTGTATTTCTCTCGGTAGTCCCCGTTACCAGACGCTGCACAGTATTCAGTACATCCAACACTTGGATCCACAACCCCACGAGCAAAGTGGCATCAGGAGTCTCTAAGTTGTACTGGATTGCAAATAGAAGAGGTTCCACGCTGCAGATTATTTTTTCCGACTGCTCTGCACAGGCAAAGGCTACCGCACGGCTACTGTCGTGGATAGCAGCGGGAAAGAGAACCCAGTGCAGTCCACGACTTTGTGCAGACCACTTCCGTCACAATTCTACCAGCCGCTGGTTTTTGTTCTCATCTGCAGGTAATGCATCGAGCTTGTAGAGTCTCCGCCCACTGGCATTGAGCATGCAACGCCTGTTCCATTTGCGGACTACGATTGAGAACTTATGTGCAGCTGTCTGTGTGCGGCTCTCAGTGATACCACAGATAATGTCCCTGAGCAGCAGCAACTTGTGCAAATGGCCAAGGCCAACAACGCCTACATAGAACTACGTAAGTCTTATGGATGGAGAAGCTCACAGTATTAATTTGGCGAACAGCTAAGTTTCCCTGCTTTGCATAGGGCTTTCGTACATTCTTCCTTCTATAGCTTTACGCTCCTCGAATCAATCAGCTGAGTAAGGATGCTGCTTTGCCGAATTGTTGCCGATGTGTACAGGCAAGCTGACTCAAGATGAAACCGCAAGCTTTTTGGCCCACTGCTTGCATATAAACCGCAAGTATTTGTCCTTCGAACTTGTGCACTATGTACATCGGGTCTCTTCGGGTATGTGTCGAAGTTAACGCGGAATTTCCGAGGCGTATAGAAAACGAATATTCCTGCACTCCGGTCCACTTCCAAGGGCATTCTTCGAGGCTGAGGTACTGTGCGCTTCTTGGGGTGTTTCTTTCCTGTGCTTCGCAGGCATCCCGAAGTATATATTTTTGACGGCGAAACAGCTGGTGAAGGACGGGCATGTTGTGCTGAAGGAACGAAAACGCAAGAATCGTGCTGCGACTGAACTGCTAAGAGAGAACACCCTCAGTTTTGAGCTGCGGTACAGACGTTTGTTGCTTCAGCGCATGGGAAAACAATACCAGGACCTTCAGCAAGAGTATGAAACCCCAAGGGGAAAAAGATCAAGAGCGCGTGCGTCCGAACAAGAGGCCTCAACTGAACAGGCAACGTCCGATGATTCCAGTGATGAAGACGATACAGAGGTCCGCTACGTGGACGACGAAGTGATCGTGGCGGTGATTGGACTGTTGAAGACATTAAACCAACAGCGAATTGCGTTGGGCTTGGAGCCAGATGAGGTGTTTATCCCGAACTCCTCTGCGGACGCAGAACAGTAAGCATTGCCGCAGCAGGTTTTCTCGTAAAGCGAAATCACTGTGGAACTGTGTCGAACTTTGTTAGTCTTTAACTCTTGCTGAAGTCCTTGATGTATCCGTGTGAACCTGCAGGGAAGATTGGAGGAAGCAGGCGCAGTACGACGTATTATCCCCTTCTTGCATGCCTCCCGACGCAGCGGCTCTCGAGCTCATGCCACCGCCGGCCTCTGTACTCAGTGCTGTTTCTTTGTCTCTCGACGAGAATGACGATGGCGAGCCTGTGCGCTCTCCCTTCTACTTAGCGGAGTGCTTCCGCAGGCGGCTAGTAGACTGGGGCACGAAGGACACGAATAAACCCAGTGAACAGAACAAAGGCGACCATCGAGACTCAGCGCATGTGCATGAAGAACAACATCCCGCGAGACGTTTTGCCTCAAGGCGTCATGGGCGAAAGACTAATGGTCTTGGAGGAGGTTCTGTGCACTGCCGTGTGGGACTACAGGAGCAACTGGCGCAGGAAGACAGGAGCCGGATTCGTCGAGGCAAGTTGACGGACGCGGAGTTCGCTCTTCTCTGCTTCAGACCTTCTTGGATGCCGCTTGACTTTGACGATCTCGCGGCCCTGCGTAAAAGCCGCAGACGACGTGTAGCCCAAGCAAAACACTTGGAATGGGATAGCGATGCAGAGGAACCAATTGTGAAACAGGGAGACACGGGAGACGGCGGATGGGGAATAAAGCGTTACTGTGAAGCGCGTGTTGTTTCGAATTTGAACTCTCTGCCTTTTGTTCCCCAGCTTGTTGCAACGTGCATGTTCACTGTGGAACGACTCCTGCCGGAGGAGCAGATGATGGCTAAAGTGGCTTCAGTGTTTCCTATAGCGTTTAGACCCACAGAGCTTCGTATGGCATACCCACGGCGTATGCTTTCAAACGAATTCTATGATCTGGTCTACCAGCTCATATGTAAGGACGTTTTGGAAATATGTGAGCCAGCGTCACAAGAGGAACAAGAAGCTTTGAGTCACTTTATCGGGGCTTCTTCAGCGAAGACAACCGCACAGAGCACAGTCACCACAGCTGCGGGCAATCCGACAAAGGCAGCAGACGGCACTGCAGCTGTCTCTGAAAAATCAGGGAACCTTCTCGATGTGCCTGGCGGCGGACGGGCAAGGCACAGCAGCGTGTTAGAAGATACTCCGTTTCCAGGGCTTGGCCCGGGACACGAACGCCGTCCTAGTGTTGTAAAGGCAGGAGGCATTGTGACGCCAGCGAAAGTCGCGGCTGCAGGCAGCGGGAGCGATGCCGCTCAGCAAGACGAGTCCTCAAGTGATTCTAATGCTGCACGGATTCAAAGGGGCTTTGAAGCTGATTTGGCGGCAGGCTGCGCTGCAGGAGCAGCGTGGACCAGTGTTCTTGCAACACCCGAAAGAAAAGAGGTCCACATTCGGTTCACAAGTATAGCTCTGCAGCGGGTGAGTAACGGTAATTACATGGCGCAAAGATTGATTCTAGTCGCTTCCCGGTTCTTTCCTCTGCACCGATTACTTGGTTTCGGTCGTTGTAGGCCAAGATTTTATTTTTTATTGTCCTCTGCGTATCCCTATTGAACAGGTCGTTTCGGACTTGCTGCTTTCTGACGAGCGGAAGTGGCTTACACTTGTGTGCCGGTGAGACATTTTTGAAGCCATTGTAGCTGTGGTGTTTGTTTACTTCTATTAGCTATGGTGTTCATTTTAAGAGCCTGGTTTCATTTAAACTACAGGCATGCAAATCCGGCAAGCATAAAAGCGTCTCGCAGGTAGTGTGATTCGAATTAGCGCACTCGCGGCCCATGTTTACAGTTGTGGGATTAATGCGATGCGTTGCTGCTGTTTGTTCCTAAGCCGCGCGCTGGCTCAACGATTTGTTACTGTTGCTGAGTCCCAAGTTATTGGTAAGGGTCTCGCTGCCTCTTCCTCACAGATTACAGCGGAGAGTGGCTCTATCGCGCAAGAAGGTATGCAAGCGTAGTTGTTCCTTTGGGTGTGAAGACCGAGTTCCACGGCTAGATGTCTAGTTGTGCTTCCTTGACCTATTTGCTTGGCTAATTTTACAGGAGACAGAAATAAAATCTTTCGCCGCATGGCTGGTTCTGACTTCATATTTTGCTGCTTCTGACGTGCTCTGCGCAGAGTCTGAGGCACATGACAGCATTCCAGAGTCGCTGTTACGGGGCGTTTTAGAGGCGGAGAGGGAACAGCATACTCGCGCAGCGGAGCAGAAGCAGAAGTCGTCGCAAATGGAACAAGCAAACGTTGCCGAAGCAGCGACGCTACAGGAACAACATCCAGCAGTTTCCAATTCAGTGGCAGAGAGTGGTGGAGTGGTCGATGCGGGGATGCCAGAAACTGACTTGCAAGCTTAGTCGAAGTTCAAGTGACATACAGTGAATTTTTTACGTTTCACAAGGGGCAGTCTCTTGTTTTTGAAAAGCATTTGCAGGTGTCCGGCTGTTCAGTACTTATTTCTAAATTAGGTAAGCGAAACCGCATCCAAGTTCTGTCCACGCGTCTATCCCAACCTTGTGGGTCTTGTGCCTTGATTCATCCTGTAGCTAGCTTTTCAGTCTGCAGCTAGTTCAGAGCACGGAGCTCTGTCGGCTACTAACCTGAAGCGGAGCCCAAACAGCCAACCAACAGAGTTCACCGCAGCACCAACTTCGATGCAACCGGCTGTTGCGACTGGCAAATTGCCGTAGCGCTACTACACAGGCATTCAACAACCAGAGGAGGGATGTCACTAGCTGCAGCGTGACCCCACCTGCAGCTGATTATCTCCAGCCCATTGAGCATGCTGCTGCCTCCGGCAGAGTTTAACGGGCCTGAATTTCTGTGGCTTTCTCGATCGAGCAACAGTTAACGAGCTAAGAGCGATGCCCTAAATTTACGGAGCATTCGTCTTTCCCAGTATTGAATATCCACAAGGCACGTATCTCAAAAGGGATGTCTTCCACAGCTTTGATTTCAGCATGATGGAGAAAAAAAGAAGTTTCCGCCTTTACAGTGGACCAATTGACGGCAATAGTGTGGCCGCTTGTCGCGTTCTTTACTATTATTTTGGCGCTCCCTGGGCCATAGCAGCTTAGCAGCCTGTAAGCTTGCTCTTTTCCGCTTCTTCGCTAATACTGCGTCTAGTGTTTGGCCTAGGGGAGCTTTTCTGGAGAGGTACATGTGAGGACATCCGAACGAAAAGCTCAGCCCCTCGGGGTCAAGAGATCAGAATTTGGGTTCAATATTGCATGTTTTCCATTCAGTATCACGTCATTTTAGTTTGTAACCCAAAAGTACCGAACTTTTTTCCTTCTGATGGAAGACAATGTCCTCTATATCAAGAAGCGCCTACGCATTTGTACCTGAGGGTTCTTCCGCCTTATGAGTAATGGTCAAACGCATATCGCCTAAACGTGAATGCAGACTGCTAGAAGGCTGCTAGTGGAGTGCTTCACGCAAGGCGGTTGCTAGGAGTACACTGGAAAAGCAAATGTGCATTGCAGGAAAGCGAAGAGAGCAATACCAAGGCGGTTGCTAGGAGTACACTGGAAAAGCAAATGTGCATTGCAGGAAAGCGAAGAGAGCAATACCGCTTCTGCCTCTGTTGAAGGTTAGTTAGGCTCGATTTGAACGAAAGGGCCTCTCATTTCTTCGTTGATTACTTCAGAACGCAGCATTGCGAACCGGCGCCAAAGTCGCAAAATGAGGATTCCTAGCGAGTCACTGATGAGGACTTGAAACAAAGCTTAGGCTTCATAGCCGCGTCGTTTCCCGGATGAGCCCTATTATTCGTTCTTTTGCCTCTACTGCTGTGCTGGCTTTTAGTGAGACCTCACAGCGCATTATTAGCGAGGCATTTGGTACTGCTGCGTGAAATATCACAAGCATTTCTGCGCTGACGATTGCTGCAGTGCCGGCCCTCCTGGTGTGTCTGCTCCACGTCTTTCTGTTCCTTGAGCGCATTTGTGTGAACGCTCGGTGCTAGCGCAAAGCTGGTAATAAAAAAGCTGTGTGGCTGCTTTATTTGTCTGCGAGAGTTCTGTGAGCCAGGCGAGGATTCTTCCGCTCCCGGCACATTGTCCGGCACCGTTTCCTGGCCACGGGCTGCGACCGGCTTCGCAGGAAGCGAAATAGCACTTCGCAAAACCCCACTCAGCATTAATTAGAACTGTCAGTTATGTCATAAACGAACCGCCTCCGACTCTGGAACGTGCTGCTTCCGTACACACAATTGTCTACGTGAGCGTTAACCAGAGAACTCCATCTACAGTGAAGGCTCGCTGGAAAATTACATAAGAAGAATCGTTTCTTGACAAAAGTTTAAGGCAAATGACATACAATTCAATCATTATTCCTTCTGCTCCCTTGTAACCTGTCAGTCCCCCTACCTGGCCACAGTCGAACACCGGAGCTTGCCAACAGGCGAAAGCTGCCTGATCCGCTTCAACATTTTGGGGTATGAAGTAGCGTCTATAGTTGACCCTGAATTTCTGAATGGGAGCTGAAATTTACGCCGCATGCTGATGCGTGACGGATCACACGCTTTTCCTCAACACACACGGCTGTCGATGCTCAGGGCTTCCGTTTGGTTACGATACTTTCGATCGAGTCCACAACGCAAGCGAAGCATTTTTCCTTTCAGCAGAGTTATACAAGTTGTCAGTAGAGGTGTAACACAGCCCTATGCACACGTCCGAACCAATGGACCACTGGTGAGCCAAATGGGGAGACATTCACCCCATTCACCCTCTCCTTTCCCCACTGCTCCTGGCTCTCCGAGTAAGGCAAAGGCTGCTCATAGAGTCTCTTCGAGATTAGTCTGCATTGTTCTGTTGCTTTCCAGTGACGCTGGACTTACCAACGGGCCATGCAGCAGCTTGGGCGCTGTCTTCGCGACACCCAAGTTCTGGGACTCTCTTCTTTCGGGCTGACGTTCCTTTTCCCCGCTTCTCGGCAGGATTGCCATGTAGAAGGGTCGTTGATGTTTATTTGCTCACAATGAATCGCCATGAGGACAGGAGTTGCACGGCGACGGAAGGTCCGTCAGATCCGACAACGCTCCCGTCCATGCCTCACTGTATGCCTTCTCAAGCCTGCCTGTGCCCAATTAGTCTACAGGTTGGCATGGAATTGGCTTTTCTAGTTTCCCGAATCCACAAAGTTCGTGGGTTGCCCCAACTTGATCCTCCCCAGGGAGAAGATGACGGCGTATCACCCCCAGGCAGTGAACTCTCCGTTCAAGAGCCAAATGCGCACCTAAAGGGTAGCCATGAGGACGAAGTGAATATTCCCGCTGAAATTACCAGGGAGTCCGGAGGCTCCCGTGGGCAAGGGGGAGCCGACGAGCTGTTAGGCACAGAAGTTAGACCTGGAACAGGGGTAGGTTGTACCCAGCAGGCGGATGTTGAAGCAGACATCCAGGAGGGGCCTCTCACTTCTACGCCTTTACTCTTGAGTTCCAACGCCAGCTGGCCTCAACTCCTTAGCGCTTACGGCTTGATACACCCCCCAGTGCCCCGGTTGGTGGAGCGATTACTGCTTCATGTGAGCCCCGCCGCATCTTTCCCTTGTAGAGGCAACACCGCAAAGGCCACGAGGGACGAACCGTTCTAGAACAGGGGATTAGAAGGGAGTGGGAAACAGTAGCGTCGCGCTGCGCTGTACTGCATGCTAGCTTCGGTTGGCTGTTTCTGTAGGGATTGTAGCGGGTTGGTTTCCCCTGATTATGATTCTCTGACTGCGGCGTTATCTCCCAGTTTTGTAGCCAATCATCTTCTCCATTCTGTCTTTCTGGAACCCTTGTGCACAGCCCCCCCAGACACCCACTCACCCGACTTGTATTTGTGCTGTGTTGCATCAGGCTTTTGCGTCGACCAAGGAGTCGGCGCGGCTGCTAGAGAGCAGCGAAGAACTGCCAGTTGCTATCCTGCTTCGCCAGTTGCTCTCCGAAGGAAACTTCAAAGATCTTATCGTCACGGCTGCTCCGAGTGCCTCTCAGCCTTCCGACAGCTCCCAGAGTCCTCAGAGCCAACACAGCATGGACTCCATGCCTGCTGGCTCATCCGCTGTCTGCAGCAACGACGCTGGCATAAGTGGCAGCGGCGGAGTTGCTGGAGCAGAGAATGGTGACGTGGTATTGCTGCAGGTTAGCAGCAGCGAGCAACACGGGCAACCATTGCAGCAGGAACAGGCTTCCACCCTCTCTTTATCGGCAGCAGGTTCCGACCCGGAAGTCCCTCGTCAGCGCGAACAGCCTGATGCCGCGAATCTGCATTCAGCCGCCTCTGCTGCGATTCGCCGCATCCGAGCGTTGCTGGAGGAGGAGGCAAGTGAGGCGGCTCAGCGCAGAGACAGTTCGGAAAGTGCAGAAGACGATCCTGCTCCGCCACCCACCAGCACCAGGGGCGCCGGGTGTCCTGAGGAATGCATATTTGGTTCTGGAAGGCTGGAAGCGCCATTTGTTTCCTCAACTCCCCCTGCAACATCGCATACAGACGAGTCGGAAGAGCCAGGCAGCTCCTCTGCAGAAGAGGACTCTGCCACAGGGAACACTGCAGGGAACCAGAGGGAAGCCCCCGCTGGGATAGCTGCGCTAGTCCTGGCTGTACCTTTTGAAAGTGAAGACGAGGACTTGGATGCTTCAGCCCAGCAAATGGAAGAGGGTGGACCTGGAGCCGTTGCTGCAGCCGCGCCGAATCCAGCGGACAGCAGCTTCAACTTGTCTCGAAGTTCTTGTGATGGAAACCTCCAAACGCAGTCAGTACTTGCTGGAAGAGGCCCATGGGTGGAGCCACAGCCGGAGGCAACTGAGGATTTGGGGAATGAAGGGCAGTCATGCGATCTTCCCCAGGAGGCTGGACGTACCGCTCATGCTGTGGACAGCGGGCTTAGGTATATCAACGAGCCTCTCTCCGTTGGCTGTTGTTTATCCCCAGTTGCCTTAAATGAACAGGGGCTACAGGGCGAAACGCCGTTGCAGCCACCAGGGGCAACAGGAAACACGGGGCCTCTGCCCTCTCCAGACGGGCAAACACAACTTTCCACGGCCCAGCTTGGGTCGCCAGATCGTCGGAACTCAGACGATCCAGCAAGTCCGCTAATGACTGGAATGGGGTCCGCAGCGTCTTCTTGGGGTACAATAGAAGCCCTTGAGACTGCGGCCTTGGAGCGACAGCCTCCAGCTCATGTCCTATTGAGAGGCATGCGTACAACGCTGCCTCAATTTCCAGTATCCCGATGCCAGCGAACCGACTTTAACAGGCGGCGCTGGACAGATGGCTACGGTGGGTTTCCGCAAAGTGGCCAAGTAGGACTGTATGAGCAGCCGCAGCTGGCAATGCACCAGCAGCAGCAGCAGCAGCAGCGCCCAGTGCCCTTCCTGTACGACCCCCGCCCGCAGCAAACTGCCCGCAACGGTGCTCACGCATCCAGCAGCCTCTTGGTTACTACGCGCCCTTCGTTTCCACGCAGGGGAGCTCAAACTCAAGGCTCAGTTGAGTATGCAAGTCCCGGATCTGGGCGCGCTGAAGGCGCTGCAAGCGAGAGGTCTCACCAAACAGAACCCCTATCTTTTCCTTCTAGCGCTCAAGCCGAGACAGTCAGCTCGATGCACAACCTCGATGAAGGACAACAGTACTGCCAACGATCCGCTCACGTGCTGCTGGAACCCTCAACGTTCAACAGAAGCGGACACCCGACTCCTATTCAAATGGAGCGCCCCCCTAGGGGTAAGTGTGACAAGGGGAGCCATGCGCGTAGGAATCAGATTGCAAAGTGCAAACGCATGCACACTTACGCGCTGTACTCTTGCATGTAACTATGAGAAAACGCAGACAAATTTACACACACAGATTCGCGAAAATGACGGGAGACCGGGAAAGACGCCAGCCAAGAACGGCAACAGTTGTGCCTATTCATTTTGCTTTGCTGTGCTCAGCAGAGTTCGCTCTAAGGGCAGTGCTGTCTGAAGAGGGTCCCCCACGACCGTCAGGATATTCTGCGCAGCGCCAGCTGCACGTCAATTCGCCCATACATACATACGGGGCTGGAGCGCCAATGTCTACGCTTCGGTCGAACGCAGCGCGTGATGCTATGCTAGACTTGACAAGCCCCCCCAGATATCCTGCGGAGGCGTGGGCGGATGGTGGCTATGGCCAGTCTCCGTTTTTTGCGGACAGAGACGCCTCTGGTGGTGCAATTGCAGGCGCTGGCAGCAGCCGGCCTTCAGCGTTTGCAACGGAGGCACAAAGGGGCCACACGCTTCCTCCCAGGCCGTTCTTGCGAAGTACTGGGGCCGATACAGGCCACAACACTGGGCCCCCCATAGCATCTGATTGGTCTTTGCATGCGAATTCACTTGCAGAATCCAGGGACCAAGAACAAAGCTTCTTTCCTGGACAACACCTTCGCAGCGCCAGGCGCCATGAGGGGGACTCGAATGAAAGCAGCCAGCTCCTGCAGCAACACGTTGTCGAACAGTGGATGCGAAAGACAGAAACCCACATGGAAGGTCTTGAGCGGCTCATGCAAAGGCTCCTCGCAATTATGGAAGCTGTGGAGGCGAGGGAACTTGGACTGAATTGAAAAATACCTATTTTCCGTTTTGTTGAGTAGGAGTGTTGCCTTGTGCTTATTACAGTTAGGCCGTTGTGATGTACAGGATGTTCGTGTGCGTGCCTGAACGCATTTCTATTTCTCTTGTTCCACCTGTGGCATCAGTATTGGTGCACACAAGAGGCCACCGACTTCGAAGCAGCTTCAAGCCCATAGACCAACTTGTCACTCGTGACGTTTGCGCTTATGGGACGAGACCGGTGTGGCGTCTTGTGTGTCATGAAATCAAGCAATTAATGGATAGAAACAGACGTGACCAGCTCGTGCTGCGGCTTCTGCTATCCGCGTCTTGGCGTTAACTTGGCAGCGTTTGTTGAATAGTGTGCTGTTTGCAATCTTCGGGCCCGCTTCCTAAGGTTTGTTGGCTTAAGGTTTTAGGTGTTAGATATTCAGCTTTGATTTCTAAACAGTTGCGGCTCCGTTTCAAAATTCGTCAGCTGTCAGCGCTGTCGCTAAGGAGCCCCTTCTATGGTGGCGTATTCTTTTCAGGGGCTCATGGAGCTAGTTCACCAGTTGACAGAAGATGTACATATTTTGTTTGTCTTTTTAAAGGCTCAGAAGTCCTGTTTTCCTCCCCAGTGGGAGCGCAACACGGAGGACAAGTGCTCGGCAAGCCAGTAGATGAAGACATGACCTTTGAGCTGAAACACCCTCCCCTATTGAGGAGCCTTTGAGGGAATGGACAGAACCTGCTGTGCAGGCTTAGGGAGAGCCCGAAACTGCCAAGTAGCTCAATAAGGAAGCAGGTAGCCCCGTGGGTGACTGCAGCAATGTGGGCTTTAGATGTACTCGTAACGAAGGAAGAGTACATACAGTTCAAAGTAGCGGCGGATAGGAATATACCCTATGCCCACAGGTTTGGACGCTTTATTCTGCATTGACCCAGGGAAAGCAACAGCAGTTGTGGACCCTATGTAGACCCTTTCGGACTGATATCGTTAAGGCTTGAATATCCTCACATTCATGCCTTTGCTCCTTACTCAAGGTTTATCTACTGTCTGGCAACATGAACAGATGAGGCACTTCATGAATTTCTTCCCTGTCAGACTTCTACGCGTTCTGTACCTCGTGAAAGGAGCCACCCTGACATGAACAACATGGGCCACTGGGGTGAAACGGACCAGTAGTAGAAGGGTTACTTTGCGAAACTTTTTAAAATCCCTAACGGGAGAATATAATGCTTAGTGGCTGCCATTTCATGAACTGCCCGTTGGCTATTTCATTTGCTTGGAGGCGCAGTCCATCCAACGTAGAAATATTGTTGCTGGTTGGGGTTTAATAATTTGTTGTTTGTTTGCAAACCACAAAGTGGCTCCACTGTCGAGTTTGCTGACTGAACGCATTTACGAAGACTCCTGTGCTGTTTCTGAATACTCGCCTGAGAGTTCAGCAACTCCAATGCGCTGGTCGCTCAGAAGCTTTTGGGGGACTCCTCGTGGAAACCCAGAGAATTTCGGTTTGAAAAATTCCTTTCAGTTTATTACTTCCCATTTTAATGGAACACTATAGCTATTTTTTGGTTGTCAACGTCGGGCTCTGCTCGTCCACGCATGCGGCGCTCCGCAAGGCATGGCGCAGAAGACCGTCCTGCAGAAACAGTGCCAGACAAGCCCTAGTAGCAACTGAGGCTGTTTCTCATCCGTAAATAAAGGGAGGTTTTTGGGGGGTTTTGGCTGCCTTGGCACCCGGAAGGGTTTCTTAGCAGCTCCCCGCAAGTGGCAAACGGGCGACGTTGCCGCCGTTTTCTAAGGTATTCATTCTTTCGGCGGCGCCTTCTTCTGTCTTAAATTGTACTTATACTTGATCGCAGCTCTGCGCACTGGGCTGCAGCAGCAAAATTGCTGCATTAGGAGCAGCAGCAGCGCCCACACCCAGAACAAGTTCTCCCCTCCGCTTTGTCTGCCGGTAAGCCCAGCCTGAGGATTACTGTGGATGCATGCGCGCATGCATCAACGCATGCGCGTCAGATTCCAGTTCTTACAACTGCAATGTAAGTTGTGATAGTGGGAAAGCTGCAGAGAACAGCCCCAGACAGCAGGATCGTGAAGTTGAATGCTGCTGCTGCTGCTCAGCCGCAGCAGCAGCCAGTGCAGCTTCTTTTTTGTTTAGTTCGGGACATTTCGGACTCTTTGAATGGCTCTAGGCGTCTGCTGTCAGTGCTGCTGCCCCGCTGCGGGGTTTTCGTTCAAGTTCGGCGTTCACTCTGAGTGGAAGTTTGTTTCCACTTGCTGTTTGCTCTCAGGCTGCAGCACGCAGCATCCTGATGGAGTCTCACCACCTCCTGATTCCGTCGGACGTTCCCTGGGGCTGCAGCAGCAGCAGCAGCAGCAAGGCTGCTTTCAAGTCTCGACTTAAAATGCACCATCACCGCTCCCACGGTAGTGTCTTGACGGCCTAGGCGTCTCAGACCTGCCGTACATACACCTGAGGGCCGCGCCCTCAGGTGTGCTCTGGGGGCAGCAGCAGATGGCGCGCGGCGCTGGGCGCTGCGCGAAGCCCCGCAGCAGCAGCAGCAGCAGCAGCAGCAGCGGCAGCGGCGGCGGAAGCGCGGGCGGCAGCAGCGGGGGCAGCAGCAGAGGCAGCAAGGACAGCTGCAGCCGCGGCAATGACCACGGCGGCCGCCGCCCGCTGCAGCAGCAGCAGCAGCAAACTGGGGCCCCCGCCGCAGCAGACCCCACGGGGGCCTCTCCCCCCGCCCTCCGCAGCTCCCCAGACAGCCACCAGCACCACCAGCACCAGCAACAGCAGCAGCAGCAGCAGGGGAGCCGGTGCCTGGACGCGTTGCTGCGGGAGAACGTGCTGCTGGCGGTGCTGCCGTTCCTAGCAGCAGCAGAGGCCTCCCGCTTCGGGGCTTGCTGCAGGGACTTGCGGGCAGCTCTTCGAGCCCCTAGAATGCAGCCTTTGTGGCGCCGGTGGTTCGAGGCCAGCGGCTTCGTCTGGTGGCCCTACGGCGGCGCCTGCAGCAGCAGCTGCCACCTCCAGGTCGACCGCGACGGCTTCCTGCTGCTCCCGCGTCACCAGCAGCAGCAGCAGCAGGGGCTGCACCACCAGCAGCAGCAGGGGCTGCAGCAGCAGCAGCAGCAGCAGGGGCTGCACCAGCAGCAGCAGCAGCATGGGCTGCAGCACCCGCAGCAGCTGCAGCACCAGCAGCAGCAGCAGGGGCTGCAGCAGCAGCAGCAGGGGCTGCTGCAGCACCAGCAGCAGCAGGGTCTGCAGCTGCAGCTGGAGGTGAGGGCGTGGGAGCCGGGGGAGCCTGCTGCGGGTTACCGGCAGTTCCGGCACGAGGGCTGGTGCTGCCAGTTCTTGTGGAATGCGCGAAGTTTGCAAAAGTGGAGAAGTGGAAATTGTGTTTTTGCTGCTTTGCCGACGGAGGGCCCCAGGCTCTTTGCGGTGTCTGTACACCCCAAGGGCGTGTACGCCTCCAGGGCCGAAGCCTCTCCCCTTTCCCCCGCTGCTGCTGCGCTGCTGCAGCAAGCAGCAGACTCCCCCGCAGCCACCCCCGCGCCCTCCCCCCTGCTGCAGCAGCAGCAGCAGGAGCTGGAGCCCTCTCCGGCTTCCTCGCACCGCACTGCAGCAGACTCCGCCGAGGGCCCGCAGCAGCAAATTGTCCACTTCTCCCCAGGGGCTGGCCGCTGCCTCTCAGCAGCGCTGCATGCAAAGGCAGCAGTCTTGATAGCAGCAGCAGACAGAATCCTGTGCGTCATAGAGCCCCTGGGGGGCACCCCGGGGCCCCAGGGGCCCCCCGGAGCCCCCGGGGGGCTCCCGGGGGCCCTCGGGGGCCCCCCGGGGCCCCGCGCCGCCGCCCAGGGCCTCCGGACCGAGGGGTGCCCCCGCCAAGGACCCAGGGGGGCCCCCTCTGCTGTTTCACTTTCTCCTGTTTCTTCTTATGCTGCTGCTGGCAGCATTTCTTCCTTGGCTTCTCTTGAGTTGGAGCTCGAGAGCCTTGTCAGTGGGGGCGGCGGGGGGCGCCGCGGCAGCAACAAGGGCAGAAAGAGCGGGGCGATGAAGCACGCTGCTGCTGCTGCTGCTGCTGCAGCGGGCGAGGGCAGGCGGCTGGGCTGCGACCCCGCAGCGGGAGCCCCTCGCGGCGCTGCTGCTCCTGCTGCGGGCGCGGGTGGCGCTGGGGCCGCCGCAGGGGCGAGCCCGGCCTCCTCCGCAGCCTCTGCAGCAGCAGCAGCAGCAGCAGCAGCGGAAGTGCGGGAAATATGCCGCTGCTTCTCCAGAAACGCGTGGCTGGGCTGCAGCGTGGACGCAGCCAGCGGGCTCATGGCCTGCTGCTTCCTTTCTTCAGAGCCCAGCAGCAACGGGCGGGGCCGCCGCAAGAAGGGGGGGGCGTTGGCGGATGCATGCGAGTACAGGGTGTACGACATGCTGAACGAAACCGTGAGATCTTCTGTTCGAATTCACTTTATTTCGTTTTAATTCACTTTTACTCGTTTTTATTTGTCATTTTATTCTTTGTCTCCTTTTTATTTCCCTTTTTTGTTCAGTTTGAGGGGTGAACGCCCTGCACCCGGTTTCCCGATGTGCGCATACACTGCAGATGCGCATTATGGACTTCTTGTTTTCTGCACTCTAAATTTGAATTTAAATTTGAATTTAAATACATTTTATCCACCTACAATATTAGTGTGCATTATAAATGTGTATTTTAAATATATTTTCATCTCATTTCCTCATTTTTCGTGCAAATGCGCATGCATAGGATGTGTTCGTTGGCCTGGTGCTGGAAGAAGAGCTACTCAAAGCGCATGGAAAGCTGCGATTTAGGGTTTAGAGTTTAGGGTTTAGGGTTTGTGGGGTTTATGGCTTGTTCAGGAAGTGGCCCAGTTGTCTATTGAAGGTCATTTGGTGCATCGCCTGATTCTTAATTTCGTATTTTCTTCCAATGCGTCCCGCGTGTTCGGCTTTGACAGATGGCACAGGCAAGACACTGCTGCTGCTGCTGCTGCTGCTGGTGTCTGCGCGGCTTCGCACGCGCCTTTGCTGCGCAAGTGTTTGCGGTCGTTGCTGTTGCATCTGCGGAGAAGCTGCTGCAGCTGCCGCTGTTGCCCTTGCTGCTGCTGCCGCTGCTGCTGCTGCAGCAGCTGCAGCGCGTGGGGCGGCGTGCGTTTGCAGGGAGTTTTTCGTGTGGTGCCTGCCGCCTGGGGCTGAGCAGCAGCAGCAGCAGCAGCTGGAAGCTGCAGCAATTGTGAATGCGCACACGGATGGGATTTTGGCTTTGGATGCTCTCGAAACTGCAGCAGCTCTGAAAGTGGTTTGCGGCAGCAGAGACGAAACCCTCAGTCTTTACTCCGTGGACCCTTTGCTGCGGCTCGCCACCTTCACCGGGTATGCAGCTGCAGCACGGCTGCTGCATGCATGCGCTTTCACAAGTGCTTTTCTCGTAATCTGCAGCAAAATTGCATAATTGATTAAATTAAAATCTCAAGTGCTTTAGATACAGTCGAAGTGCAATTGGGTTTGGCTTTGTGGGAGTTGCATGCGGTGTACGTACACCGCAGATGGCTTTCTTTTCAATAATGCCTTTGCGCCCATTTGAAGTTAAACACTTATTCATTTATAAGTTGCAAAAGTTGAATAATTATTTATATACTCTTTGCAAAAGTTGAATGTTTGTTGTTTCGGCATATTTTTTTCCGCAAAAAGTGCACATTTACTTTTTTGATTTGCCTTTTTTTTGAAGTTGAAATAAACGGTTTCATTTTGCTTTTTCAAAAGTTGGATTTTAATTCTTTAAATTGTTTTTCTTTTGTTTTCCAAAGACACCAGGCCGAAGTCTCCGCCGTCTGCTGGCTGCGCAACGGAGAAGCAGCACTGGGCGGCCAGGGGCCCCCTGTGGGGCTGGGGGCTCCAGGTGTATCTACAGATGAAGACATGCAAAGTTTTGCTTCGGGAGCTTATGACGGCTCCATTAAAATTTGGGACGCCCGACAGGGAGACGCAAAGAGCCTCCCAGGTACCACCTGCTGCTGCTGCTGCTGCTGCTGCGGTGGTTTTGCTGCTGCGGTGGTGTTGCTGCTGCGGTGGTGCTGCTGCTGTGGTGCTGCTGCTGCTGGGGTGGTGCTGCTGCTGGGGGGTGCTGCAGCTGGTGCGAGCAGCAGCTGCTGCTTTTCTTGGTCCGTCTGTTCCCGTGCGTTCTGTCGCTGCTGCTGCGCTTGCTGCAGCGGCTCCTGCTGCACCTGCTGCTGCTGCTGCTGCTGCTGGGGTGCATGCAGGTCACGGTCTGACGCTGCTAGAACACCAAAACCGAATAACAAGGCTCGCGGGTGTATGGGATGGCCAAATGCTCCTTTCTGGGGACGTGGACGGCGTAGTGAAGGCAAGAAGTGAAAATAAATAAATTTATTTTCATTTTGTTTCTTTTTATTTCCTTTTATTCCTTTTTTCGTTTTATTTCTTTTTATTTCGTTCTGCTGTTGTTTGTCATGGGTTCAATGTGATTCTTCGTTTTATTTCCTCTTCTTACTGCTGCTGCTCGCGAGTTCAATGTGCTTTGCTGCTGCTGCTGCTGCTGCTGTGCTGCAGCACGCTGCGTGGCTGAAGCAGCATTTTACTTTTTGCTGCTACTGACTAATAAGGCTTGCTGCTGCATTTTGCTGCAAGTGGTTTTTTATCTTTTAACTAATTTCTTTTCTGTCTTTATTAATTAGGAGCTTTAAATGCAGCCCTTTTTGCTGCAAGCTGTTTACTTTGTACTTTGTTTTTTTATTTATTTGTTTCTTTCTTGTAATTTAGCAGCTTTAAATGCAGCTCGCCTCGCTGCAACTAATTTTTTCAACCTTTTTGTTTGTCTCTTCATTTCGTTTTTGTTTATATGCTGGAAACAAACAATTTATTTTATTGGTTATTTCTTTTGTTTTATTTTCCAGCTGTGGGATTTGCGCAAATGCGCCGACTCCGTCATGACGGCGAAATACAACGGAGCCATTTTGGACCTCCAGGCCAACCGCGCCTTCTGTGTGGTGCGTTTGAACTTCAATTAATTACTTTCGACAATAATTAAAGTTATTAGTTATTATTAATATTAATAATTATTATTATTATGAGCCTTTAATGCCTCGATCGCCACGGTGTCAGTTCCGGTGAAAGAGAGCAGCGGCAAGACGCAGCTGTCTGTACACCTCAAAGCCGCTGCAGTTTGGAGTTTTCAGAACAAATACAAATTTTCTTTCAATTAAAACCTTTTGTTATGTGTTGATTGTTTCTTTTTCTGTCATTTTATTTCCTGTTTGCCGCTGTTCCCACCCCAGGTGCGCGCCAGCCCACCCCGCGGGCGCGACTCGCTGCACGTCCTCGACTTCAGCAGCGGCGGCTGCCGCTGACGTTTGAAGTCCAAAAGTTCAATTCTATTTGCCATTCTGGGGTGTAGGTACACCCCGGCGGGATGTACGTACACACTGGTGGGGTGTACGTACACGCCGGCGCCGGCCCCTGGCGCCGCCAACGCCTCATTTGCACAGCAGCAGCAGCAACTGCTGCCAACTGTTCTGAAGCCTCGCTGGCCCCCCTTGCTGCTGCTGCTGCTACGACTGCTGCTGCTGCGCGGGGATGAGACACGCGTTGCCGCTACTGCTACTACTTGCGCTGCTACTGCTGCTGCTTTACACTTCACTGCTGCCTCTGGTGCTGCGGTTGCCGGTCTAGTTGCTAAATGCAGCAGCAGCTGCTGCATCAGCTGGTCTGTCTACCCACCTCCGGGGCGCTCTAAGATGCTGCTGCTGCGGCGCAGAGGCCGCAGCAGCAGCAGGCGTTGGTGCTGCTGCTGCTAGGGCGTTGCTTCCCTCTTGAGAATTAGGGTCTGTTGAATTAAGTTCATGTGTCTAAGACAAGTAGAAGCTGCAGCACGGGCGGGGCGTGTTGCTGCTGCAGCAAAGAGCCGGGGCGCGAGTGGGCAAGGGCAAACAGCAGAGTCTGGGGCTTCGGGAGTACAAGTCCACAACTTGTCGAATATAATAACTTGCACACAAGATAGAAATAAAATATATCCTTAGAGCACTCATATTCCCTGCGCGCCCGCAGCACGGGCCAGCGCGCCGCCTAGGCCTCACTACCAGGGCTCCGACACACATCTTAGCTGTTCAGTTGCTGCCTCCGCCGCTGCTGCTCCTCAGAATTAAGCAAGTGAGCAGTTGCGGCTGAAGGCCCGCTGCTGGGCGCTCCGCGCGGTGTACGTACACCTGCAGTGTACGCAAACCTGCGGTGTACGTACACCTGCGGTGTACGCGCACCAGGGGTTACGTACACCTGGGGTGTACGCGCAGCTCGGTGTACGCGCACCTCCGGTGTACGCGCACCTCCTCGCGCGCCGCAAGCCACTCTCGCTCCTCTCCTCCCCACTTTTGTTTCGTTTCGAACTTTTACATTTCTTTCCGGTCAAAACGCACAGATATCTGACGCCCGTCCAACACGTAATTGTTAAAAGTGTCTATTGCGTTCTGTGCGCTCTCTCGAGAAGCAAACAAAACTGTGCCCACGCCTTTCGAACGGCCCCCGGGCATTTCCATCACATCCGCTCTGCACACACAAAGCAGCACACAACTCTCCGCTGCAGCAGCAGCAGCAATTCTCGTGTCCGCAGCAGCAGACAGCTCCGGCGCAGCGCTTCAGCGCGACAACAGACATTTAGCTTTACATACATCTGCGAGCTGGCACCTGCTGCTGCTCTTGAATTTTATTGAAAACAGACAAAACCCACTTAACACAAAAATAAACACAGTTAAATCATATCCTTCGCAAATCAAAATGAAAAGGGACTTGGAGACTTCGCCACAGGCAAAAGTAACGAAACAAAAACAATAAACCGGAAAAGGCGGAAACGTCGCAGAGCCCAAAGACGAGGTGTACAGACACCCCAAACACGAATTGCGCACGAACGGCCGCGGCTACGAAAAGACGAAGAAAGAACGAATTTATTCGAAAACAGATTCGTCAGTTTAAATAAAGACAAATGAACAGATAAATACATTTGAAGTCGCATTTAGAAGCATTTTACTTCGCTTTCGTGCACATTCGCCGGCAGCAGAACCTGGGCACCGGCGAGTGGCAATGCGTCCAAAAAGCGCGAAAAAAGGCGCAATTTCTCGGAAAAAAGGAACAAAGGAACAAAAAACAGAAAAGAAGAAATTTAACTTGAATTTTGCAAAAAGGAGGCGAAACGACGGCGGATCGGACCTGATCACTTCTCCGCACTCGCGGAACAGATCCTTGAGTTCGTGCCAAGAAGTCTTCCACGGCAAATTCGACACGAAGATCTGACGGCCCCCGCCGCCCCCCTGGTAACTTCCCTGGCTGCCCTGGCCGCCTCCCTGGTAAGAAGAGCCCTGCGAGCCCTGGTAGCCCCCGCGGCCGCCGGAGAAGCCCCCGCGCCCGCGCCCTCGACTGCAGCAGCAGCAGCAGCAGCAGCAGCGGCGGAGGATGCAGCGGCGGGAGGGGGGCGCGGGAGACAAAGGAGAAGCGGCGGCGCGAGAGAAGTGCAGAAGCGGCACAGGGAGAGGAGCTGCAGCAGCAGCGGCAGCAGCGGCAGGAGCAGCAGCAAAGAAGCAGCAAGACGTGCTACTGCGCAGCAGATACGCAGCAGCTCGGGAAGTTTAGGTGTACGTACACCTCAACACGCTTACCCGCGGCCCCCCGAAAACTTGCTGCCGCTGCCGCCTCCCTCTTCGCGATCTTCCCGCACGAAGATTGGACGTTCTGCACAGCAGCAGCAGCAGCAGCAGCAGCAGAAATGCTCGGGCGTACGTAGACCCCAGCAGCTGCGGCGCGCCGCAGCAGCAACTCAGCCCCACACGCGCTTTGCTGCACTCCGCGTCACGGCGTCTAGACGCATGCAGCCAAGCCCCGAGGGCGAGCAGCAGCCGCCGGAGCAGCAACCGCAGCAGCTGCTGCCGCCGCAGCAAAAGCAGCAGCAGCCGCAGCAGCAACCGAAAACGCGTCCGCAGCAGCCTCGGCCGCAGCCGCCGCACCAACCGCCGCATCCCCAGCAGCAGCGCAGCAGCAGCAGCGCAGCAGCAGCAGCGCAGCAGCAGCAGCAGCGGACCGAGGAGGACGGTGTCGGTGAGTTCCTTGATGGCGCGCTGCGCCGCCTCCTCGCTCTTGTAGACGACGATGCCGCAGCCTTTGCTGCGGCCCTGGTAGTCCTCGAAGACATCCGCGCGGACCACCTCGCCGGCCTGGCTCATGTGCTGCTGCAGCTCTGCTGCGCGCACGCCCCAGGCCAGGTTCCCCACGTACACGCTGCAGCCGGTCGCGGGCGCGCCCGCCGGCTGCAGCACACGCAGCAGCAGCAGCAGCAGCAGCAGCGGCGGCGGCGGGTGGGGCGGGGCGCGAGGGGTGCGGGCTGCGGCGGGGAGGGAGCAGCAGCAGCAGCAGCAGCAGCGAGGGGGCAGCAGCAGGCGCACCTTTTCCTGCTCCTGGGCTGCCGGGCTCGGCCTGGCGTCATCTGCTGGAAGCTGCGCATACACCAGAGCAGAGGGAGCAGCAGCAGCAGCAGCAGCTCAGCTGCTGCCGTCGCATTAAAACTAGAATTTCTGGCGGCAGACACGCGCAAAGCGGCAGCCGCAGGAAGGGTACCCGCTGCGCGCAGCAGCAGCCGCTGCTGCTGCCGCTGCTCCTGTGTCCCCACAGCGCCACTCGCAGCAGCAGCGCCGGCAAACGCAGCAGCGGCAGCAACGCTTGCTGCTGCTCAGCAGCAGCAGCTTCGCCAGCAGCTCCAGCGGGAAACGCCGAAAGCCCAAGTTTACACGCGCGGGGAAGACACTTGCGGTGTACAGACACTCGCGCGCCAGCGCGTGGGGAGCAGCAACTGCGAAAGACCTACCGGCGGCATTTTCAGTTCTCTAAAACAATTAATTTATTTAATTAATTAATCCTCCTCTTTCAGACACTGCAGGCCCTCAAAGTCCCCTTCGCCGCGCCATTTGGCCTCTGCTGAGGGGGAAAGGATCGAGCTGCCTTTGCCAGCCCTGCCGCACGAGGCTGCCGTTGCTGCTGCTGCTGCTGCTGCTGCTGCTGCTGCTGCTGCTGCTGCAGCCCCGTCCCGCGCCGCCAGCCGCCTCTTCCCACCCAAATCCTCGCAAACTGCAAATTGCTCCCAACTCGGAACTTTAATTCCAATTCCGAAGCTCCCCACCCGCAGCAGCAGCGGCCGCGCCGCCCGCGCTCTTGAACCAGTGCAGCGCAGCCGCTGCTGCTGCTGCTGCTGCTGCTGCTGCGCGACACACGCCCCAACTTCGACACATTCCACTTTTCCTTTTTTACATTCTGCACCTTCTCAACACGCAGCTAATTCTTAACTCTGCAGACCCGGGGCCCCGAGCACGGCGCTGCGCGCAGCCGCGCAGCCGCACGGCCGGGGCCGCGGGCTGCTGGGGATTTCGGTTCCAATAACCAAATACATAATTCCATTTCCTAATTAAATATTTTAATTTTTAAAAATTCAATTTAGTTCAAGTTTTAGGCTCGAGGCTGCACAGAATGCCTCGTGTGCATGGGCGGAAGCGTTGCTCGCCCGCGAATGGTCCTGCTGCGCAGCTATGCAGCGCCTGCTGCTGCTGCTGCTGGAGCAGCAGCAGCAGCAGCAGCAGCAGCAGGCTGGCCCGCAGAAAAGCCCGGGGGTGGGCCCAAAAGGCCCCCCCCAGCTGCCTGGGATTGCCGCGCCTTCGTCCGCAGCAAATCCGGCACTGCTGCATGCGCGCTGATGCTGCAGGGGCGTTGGGGTGTAGGTACACCTCAAGAGGCACGGCGAAAGCGCCTCTTCCGCGGGAGGCAGGAAACTCACATTTGATTTATTATGTCTTCGAGGCGAGCCCCGTACTGCAACAAAAGGGGAAATAAAAATAAACTTGAACTTTTTAAATATTTAATTCTGCATTTACCGATAGCAGCAGCTTCCGCGCTTCTTCAGGCTTCAGTTTCTGCGGCGGCGGCTGCGCTTTTGCTGCAGGCGCAGCAAAGTTGGAAGTTTTGGATTATTTTCTTTTGTTGTTTTTGTTTTAAAGCAGCAGATAAAACAACAAATGGATATCAAGTAATATTTGTTTCCTTTTAAATTATAATTCCCCTTCTTGGCCCGCCAGAAGCGAATAAAACCAAGTGCTGCTGCTTCCTCACCAGCAGCCTCCTGCAGCTTTTGCTCCAGATCTGCAGCAGCAAATTTGGAAACATGAAATTAATGAAATGCCTTAAAGTGCCATTTAACTCATTTAAAAGAATGCAACTTTTCTTTAAGTAATGAGAATCAATAAAATGCATTAAAGTGCCTTTTAATTCATTAAAAAATGCAACTTTTCTTTAAATATGCAAAACAGAAAAAAAAGAAGGCTGCACACACACCGCAGCCGCAGCACGACGTAGCCGGAGCAGCAGCAGCAGCCAAAACAGCCAGCAGCAGCAGCAACTAGAAGCAGCAGCAGCAGCAGATAAAAGCAGCAGCAGCAGCAGCAGCAAGTAGAGCAGCAGCTCACCGTGCTGCATTTCTTCTTGTTCGTCGGTTTGTTCTTCCTTTTCTAATTCTTCTTCTTCCGTCGCCTAAATCCTTTTTTAAAAATTATTTTAAATCAAAAGTAGTTTAATTTACTTCTCCTTCGCTTTCAGCTTCTGCGAAAGACTCCTCGTCTTCTTGTTCAGCAGCAGCAGCAGCAGCAGCTGCTGCTGCTGCTGCTGCTGCTGCGGCCTCTTCAACAGCTGCAGCAAAGGGCCTCAACACGCCCACTGGGCGCCTATGTTGCTGCTCTCACCTTGCTGCGCAAAGCGTGCTCGCTGCTGCTGCTGCTGCTGCAGCAGCAGCAGTAATGTGCGCATGCACTTGGATCGAGATAAATGCAAAAAGAAATGTTACTGAGGAAGTTCTTGGAAATAAAGAAACGGAAAAAAGAAAAGAGAGGGGGAAGCAGCACCTTTGTGTTTCTTCGTTTGCTGCTTGCTTCGTCGTTTCTGTTGGGGGCCTCAGTTGGCTGCAGCAGCAGCAGCAGCAGAGAGTGGCAGCAAACTGACATGCTTGGGCGGTGCTGCTGCTGCTGCAGCGTCGTCTGGGGCAACGGCGGCGCTGAGGCAGCGCAGCGCTGCTGCAATTGCTGCTGCACTCACCTGCTGCTCTCTGGTCCCTCTTCTCCACTTCAAATCCCACTCCTTTAAAAGGCAACATTGAAGAGTCTTCAAGTTCTCCATCAGCTTCCTGAGGCTCCAAGTGGGGGTCGTAGAGGCTGTGGGCGAGCACTGTGTCTTCGGGGTCCTGCATGTGCCGTTTTCAGACTTGAACAGCAGCTGCAGCAGCAGCAGCAGCAGCAACGCGCAGCAGCAAAACGCCCAGTTCACCGTCTCCGTCACTCCGTAAGGCGCTCTCCACGCTCCCGCTGCAGCAGCAAAAACTTTTAACTTCAAAAACGAGCAGCAGCGGCGCTCACGCCAGCGCGCTCACCCGCCGTGCTTCCTTCGCGTTCTGCTGCTTCTGCCTGCTCCTCATCTGCCAAAGTCCAAATTAAAAAAAAATACCATTTAAAAGACATTTCAGAACAAACGACAATCCAAATTCGCCATACCCTCGGCAAAAGGATGCAGAGCTGCGGCAGTTTCCCGCGTTTTCAGTCTTGAGCTCTCCGCATAAGAAACAACCAGGAAAGCGTGACAGAAACAATAGAACACGCGCATTTCTGGGTAAAAGCAAATGTCCTTTTAAGTCTTTTTTAATAATGATCAAATTTGAAACGCAAGAAAGGTCTTCAAATTCGAATTCATCTTGTTTTCTTTCGCGCGGTGGATCGGCGCGTTTCAGGTGTATGTGCAACTTTCTCGACGACAGACTATTTCCGCCGGTGCAGTAGCAGCACTTTGATTCTCAAATCATTTGCAATATTTATTTTGTGTCTTTATTGAGTTGCATGGATGCGAATCTTATTTCAAATGAGGAAAAAAAGAAAAGAAAAGAGTCATTAGGTGCCTCGTCGCAGGTTCCCGTGTCGCTTTCCCGCTGCAGAGATGCACAAAACCTTCAGATTAAGCACTTGTAAAAGAAGCTGCAGTTTTTCGCCATTAAACAAACCCAGTTATAATCATTAATTGCGAAAAATTGAATAAATTGCCTTTTGTGGCCCCCGCTGGGGGGTTTAAATCGTACTAGCTTCCGGGAAAGGAAAGTTGAAGAAAGCATTTCAAGAATTTCATATCTGAATTTCCTTCACATTCCCCAAAAAGGTAAAAAGGAGAGTGAGAGATGTTTAATTAAATGCCATGTGTTATATTTGTGAAGACTAAAGTTCGATTAAAACACAGCAGAGAGCATTTGCCGCTGCATGCGAGTAATGTATGCATATACACACACACATGCATACATATATGTATATATGGGTAGAACTCTGTACATCTTCATATTAAAACAGTATATATTTCTAAATTAATATGAATTGTGTTTATATTATTTGTTTAGAGTTTCTGAAATATCTTTAAAATCCATCTGAGCCTTTAATTGCAAACCGGCTTTATGCATTTCTTTGGGGCTGCAAACGGGGCGTTGGGCTGCAGCAAGAAAATGGCACCTGGGCTTTTCGAAAGAACTAAAATTTTAATTTTTCACAGAAATGAAAATTATAGAGGTGCAATTTGCATTTTTATTTCATTTATTTATATCCTGCTGGGCCCCCTGGCGAGGGCTCAGCAGCAATATAAACGAAAGAAAAGAATGAAAACAAATCTTTGCTGAAATATACCTGTCTAAACTTCAGTTAAAAAGAAATTTGAAGTAAAAAAAGCAGAAAAGAATTGTCAAGGGGGTGAGAATTCCTACTTTTCCTTTTCGTTTCATTTGTTTTGTTTCTGCTTTTAAAAAATTCAACAATTATTTTGCAATGAACTCAAACAGATGAATGCACTGTGTACAGACACTTGAATTGGCTTTAATTCTTGAATTTGCACTTTTTGAATAATTTAGAAAAGTGAAAGGCTCAGTTATTTCGTTTTCTGAAGCTTGAATTTCGCTGGCTGTCATCGACAAAAGTGACCCACAAGCTGCATGCAGACTTCCAACTTTAACTTTTTGAATTATAATTTAAATTTCAACTTTTAATTCTTAATTTCCAATTCCTTTATTTCCTTTCCACATTATTTCTGCTTTTCCCCCAGAGCTCCGTGAGCACAGCGAAGCGGCGGGGATATCTTTATTGAAATAGAATTATTTACTTTTCATTAACTTCTTTTTAAGTAGAGACAGCAGCGAAGTTATTTGTCAGGAGAGGCTTCTGTGGAATTGTATTTGCATAGTGGCTCTGAGTGTCAGTATTTGCGGGTTTAGCAGCACTTTTTTCTGTTAATTTGTTTTAAATTGTAAAATAAATAATAAAACTAATTTAATTAAATTACTTTAATTTTTTTATTGGAGGCCAAAATTAGGCGAAGTCAAATCCAATTCAATTTTGTTTCCTCCGGAGCCCGAGTTGCGGTGTATGCGCATCTCTGTGAGACAGCGCGCCGAAGCGCAAGCAAAAGAATAAAACTGGGAAGAAATAAATGGAATTAGAACTGCACTTTTGAGGCTTAAAAAGCAGAAAAAGGAAAACAAGATGAAAATAGAATGCAATCCGTGCAAAAATAATTAAATTGAATTCAAAAAAATTCTGAATTTGGCGGAATTTAAAGCTAAATGTAGTCGCCACAGAGACACGAGTGGATGCACACGAAACGCAGGCTCGTGAATGATGATAATAGTAACAATAGCAATGACAATAGTAACAATAATAATAACAATAACAATAATAGTACTAATAATAACACTAATAATAATAAGAGTAATGGTAATAATTCAGTAAAAGACTGAATTAAATAGATGATATTTCCAAAGCCCTTGAGGCAGTTGTTTCTGCACTTTGCTGCTTCTGTTGAGCTGTTAGGGAAATGTTTGGACTTGAGCTTTCTCTCGACAGTGCGCAGGATGCCAAGCCTGAGAGTGAATGAAAAGCTTTAAAAATATTAAATGCAATTAAACAATTAAACAAAACAATAATTTAATTCTGAATTAAATCCAAACTGCGCAGTCCGCAGCGGCGCGCCCGTGTTGCAGGAAATTTCTCTTAAGTGCTTTTTGCAGGGCTGGAGCCGCCTCGGCAGGAGTGAAAAGGAATGAAAACTACTTGCATTTTGGCAAGTTGCATTCCTGTTTAAATTGAAAAGATTGGAGGCATTAGAGCCACTTCCTGGCCAGTTTTGGCCCCCGAATTCAACAGATATACTTGTGCGGTTTCTGCCTGAGTGTGGAGTCGAAAGTTGCGAAAGGAGGAAAGGCTGCAGTGTACGTACACCCCAGGAGCGCGGCCACTCGGCGCTTTCTGTCCCGAATTTGCAACGCCGTGGGCGGCGCGTGAAGTGTCTGTGCAGAATAAAAACTAGCAGTTTTATTTATTGTTATTTTGAAAATTAATTTCCTCTTTTGTCCGCAAAGAGGGGTCTCAAGGCCGGGGGCTGCGGTCGTGGAAAGGAAGACCGCAAGACAAGACCGGCGGTTACGGGGGTGTCTGCGGAAAGCGGAAGCTTGCTTGTTGAGATGGCTGGGAATAAATGGCGGAGCATTTGAATTTAAAGAAGAGAGTTTAATTTGATTTGCATTTTAAGGAGGAAGTATCCGACTCGCGGTCTCGGGCGAGGATGGCTCGGCTTGCTGCCGCAGCTGCTGCTGCTGCTGCTGCTGCTGCAGTGCGTGCACCGTGAAAGGGCCAGCATGACCTAAAAAGACAAAAAGACGAATGAAAAGAAAAGCGACATGAAGGGCTCGAGGCGGGGGGAGCGTGTTGCGTTGCTGCTGCAGCGAGAGCAGCGCAGGGCGGTCCGCAGCAAACAGCCCGCCCCGCGGGCGGGCCGTTTGCTGCGGCTTCTTTTAAAGAAGATTTAAAAAGAGGAAATACTAGTGGCAGCTGGGCGAAAGGCGAAGAGGGGCGGGGAACGGGCGGCGCGGGCGGCGCCTCTGCGGAGCCGCAGCCGCAGCCGCAGCCGCAGCCGCAGCCGCAGCAGCAGCAGCAGCAGCCACCGCGCGGCGCTGCGATGTCTCTGCGCGTGCCGGGGCGGCGGGGAGCCGGCGTTCTTTCGCGTCTGTTGGGAGAAAAGTGTTTTTGTTTTCTTTTGGAAAAGCGCCTTCTTCGCAGGCCCCGCTGTGGCGCCGAGCAGCAGCGCAGCGCAGCAGCAGCAGCAGCAGCAGCGGAGCAGCGCAGCAGCAGCTCGCGGGGCGTTCCGCCTGCGCTCCGCCCTCCTCCCTCCCGTTTTTCCTGAGTCTCGCGTCTCCACGCAAAATGGCAAAAGGCAGTAAGTCCCCGACGCCCGAGACACTTGTCGCTGCTCACGAGCAGCAGCAGCAGCAGCAGCAGCAGCAGGAGCAGGAGCAGGAGCAGGAGCAGGAGCAGTGGACAAAGCACTCCCCTGCAAGCGGCTCCAGAAACGCTCCCAGCGCCGCTGCACGCGCTGGTGCCGCGGCCGCAAGCACCCTCCCCCCCCGCCCCTGCTAGTGCAAGCACCCCTCCCCCCCCTGCTGCTGCAAGCACCCCCCCCCTGCTGCTGCTGCTGCTGCTGCTGCAGTCCGCTTCCTGTCGCTGGTGAAGCCCGCGATGTGCGTGCTGCCCGAGGTGCACGCGCCCGAGCGGCGGGTGCTCTTCCGCGAGAAGGTGCTGTGGACGCTGCTGGCGCTCGCCGTCTTTCTGGTCTGCTGCCAAATTCCGCTCTTCGGCATCCGCGGCGGCCGCGGCGCAGACCCCTTCTACTGGATGCGCGTCATCCTCGCGTCGAACCGCGGGACTTTGATGGAACTTGGCATCTCGCCGATCGTCACCAGCGGCATGGTCATGCAGCTGCTCGCGGGCTCGCGGATCATCCAGGTGGACCAGAGCCTCCGCGAGGACCGCGCGCTCTTCCAGGGCGCCCAGAAGCGTAAACCCTAGGCCCTAAACCCTAAACCCTAGGCCCTCAACCCTAGGCCCTCAACCCTGGGCCCTCAACCCTGGGCCCTAAACCCTAGGCCCTCAACCCTAGGCCCTCAACCCTAGGCCCTCAACCCTACGCCCTAAGCCCTAAGCCCTAAACCCTAGGCCCTAAACGCTAAACCCTAGGCCCTAAACGCTAGGCCCTAAACGCTAAGCCCTAGGCCCTAAACCCTAAACCCTAAGCCCTAGGCCCTAAACCGTAGGCCCCTGCCGGGAGGGGCGCGGGTCCTTGGGTTTGATTGTCCGGGGGATTGCGCTGGAGTGGTGTCTCTGGCGGGCGGGTTTGTCGGCGGTTGGGCCCGAGTGGATTTGTTGTTTTCGTGGAATTGGTTTTGAGGACGCGCAAGCGGCTGTTTGCTGCTTGGTTGGGGACAGTCTTGGCGCTGCTGATCACCATTGGGGAGGCCGTCGCTTACGTCATCAGCGGCATGTACGGCCCGGTCTCGGAGCTGGGAGCGGGTGGGTGGTTTTGTGGATTTGTGGTTTCGAGTTGTTTCCATTCCCCCGGCAACTGGGTCCGTTGGTCCCGCTTCGGCCTCAACAAGTGCCACGCTTAATAGCAATAACAACAAAAGAGCGACAATAACAACGGTGTTGGTGAGAATGGACTTAATTGACTGGGTTGAGTCGAACTGGTGTTTGCAGGGAGCGCGCTGCTGATAATTCTGCAGCTGTTTTTCGCCGGCGTCGTCGTCATAATTTTGGACGAGCTGCTGCAGAAGGGCTACGGGCTGGGCAGCGGCATTTCGCTCTTCATCGCGACGAACATCTGCGAAACCATCGTCTGGAAGGTGCAGCCGCAGCCGCAGCAGCAGCAGCAGCAGCCGCAGCAGCAGCAGCAGCGTGTGCAGGCGCCGCAGCCCAGTGTGCCCCGTGCGCTGCAGGCGTTCAGCCCGACGACAATAAAGACGGGAAAAGGCACGGAGTTCGAGGGCGCGCTGGTGGCGCTGTTCCACTGCCTGTTCACGAAAAGCTCGAACCTGGCGGCGCTGAAGGAGGCGTTCTACAGGTCGAACGCGCCCAACATCACTTCGCTGCTGGCGACGGTGCTGGTGTTTCTGATAGTGATTTACTTCCAGGGCTTCCGCGTGGACCTGGCGGTGAAGTACCAGCGCGTGCGCGGGCAGCAGGGCAGCTACCCCATCAAGCTCTTCTACACCAGCAACATTCCCATCATTCTGCAGACCGCGCTGGTCTCCAACTTGTACTTCCTTTCGCAGCTGCTCTACCGCCGCTTCAAGCACAACGTGCTCGTCAACTTGCTGGGCCAGTGGCAGGAGGTGGACGCCGGCGGCCACTCCGTGCCGGTGGGGGGCATTGCCTACTACATCTCGCCGCCGGGGTCTTTCGGCTCCATTCTCGAGGACCCCGTGCACAGTTTCGTGTACATCACTTTCGTCTTGGTGTCCTGCGCCTTGTTTTCCAAGACTTGGATCGAAGTTTCGGGCTCCAGTTCCCGGGACGTCGCCAAGCAGCTCCGCGACCAGCAAATGGTCATGAAGGGCTACCGCGACAGTTCCCTCGTCCAGGTGCCGCGCCTCCCGCGCTGTCTGTACACCCCGCGTCCCCCGCTCCCCAGCTTGCGCTCGTTGCGGAAGACTCCCCCTCCAGCCGCCGCAGCTTCCCTGCCTTTCGCTTCAGTGTGGCTGCTTCCCGCTGCTGCCCAGCTGCTTCCCGCTGCTGCCCAGCTGCTTCCCGCTGCTGCGCCTGCCCGCAGGTCCTGAACAGGTACATCCCCACCGCCGCCGCCTTCGGCGGCATGTGCATCGGCGCCCTCACCATCATTGCGGACTTCCTCGGCGCCATCGGAAGCGGAACTGGCATTCTCTTGGCAGTCACCATCATTTACCAGTACTACGAAATGCTCGCCAAGGAAAAGGAACAAGGTCAGCCCTTTCTCCGCCTCCAAACCTCCAACCCACGCCTTCTCCGCCCCGCGCGGCTTCCGGTCTGTACAGACAGCTGGGACTGCCCAGCGGTTCGCCGTGGCTGTCGGCCCACCAGTTTTTCATTCGTTCCTTTTTTTCTCTTCTGCCCCAAGTCCAGCTGTTTTGAACGCGCTCCTCTTCCGAAACCTAGCGTGGACGCTGGCTTTGGGCTGGGGGCTTCCAGCTGGCGCGTTTGTTGCGCAAGTCTTGTTGAAATCCACGTTTTTGCTTTTTCATAACGTTCAAGTTCGGCCGCTGCGAGCGCCCCAGCTGGGGGTGGTGGGTGGGGTGTACGCACGCCCCAGCCGCTGGGCCTTGCTGGGGCGTTTTTCTTAATTTCAGGTTTTTGGTTTTTCGCTCTTTTGAATTTGCAAATGTTCGCTGCAGGCAATTCGATCTTCTAACTGCAGCGCAGGTGAAGGAGGCTGAAGGATATCGGAACAGAAATTACAACAAATAAATAAAACAAAATAAAAAGGAGAAAAGAGAAACGGGAAAACAAGTTTTGAATTATTCAGTGGCGGAGGCGCAGCGTGGAGAGAGAGACGGCTGCAGCTGAGAGGCCCAGAGGCAGCAGCTGCGGCGGAGAATTAAACAGAAAGAAAAAGAAAGAAAAGGAAAGAAAAAAGGCAAATTCAAGAAGGATTGAAGACGGCGGCGGAGGCCTTCCTGCTGCTGCTGCTGCGCTGCGTGGGGTGCAGCAGAAGTGCATTGGAAGATTTAATTTCTAGAAATAAGTTGAAGTGATTAATTTCTAGAAATAAGTTGAACTATCCAGTTTCTGGAAGTGAATTGAAGTATTTCATTTCTGGAAATATGTGGAAATAAAGTTGAGTTCATTTGGTGGAAGTTCAGGGGCGCCGAAGAAGAAAATAAACGACAATGGCAATAAGTGGAATTAAATCCTTTTTGGACTTTTTGTTTTAAAACATTAAAACAGAAAGCACAAAAAGAAAAAAGATAAATGAAATGGAGGAGCGGAGGCGTCGCCGGCTTTCTCCGGGCGACGGCGCTTCAGGTGTACAGACACCTCGTGCTGGGTGCGCGCGGCGAACACGGCTTGTTTTTAAAACGTCAAGTTAGTTACTTCTTTCTGTGAAGGCATTTCTTATTTTGTTTTGTTCGTTTTATTTTGTTTTATTTCTTCTGTTTTATTTTTCTTCTCTAGAGATACATCTAGTTCGCCACGCAGCCTCGAGGCCTCAGTAGAGTCCGCAGCTGCTGCGAGCAAGAATGCCTCAGCCGCAGCAAAATGCTCCAGGTGAAGACTTTGGGGAAGTAGATGCACCGCCAGTAAAGTGAGCAGCAACAGCAGCAGCAGCAGCAGCAGCAGTGGCAACAGCTGCAGCAGCAGCAATAGCAACAGCAGCAGCAGAAGTTGATCTACCGGCGGCGCGGGCTGCTGCTTCGTTGGAAGGGCCTCTGAGTGGCCGCTGGACGGCAGCAGCAAACAGGCTGCTGCTTCAAAAATAAATTGAAGAGCTTCTTGATTTGTTGCCATTTCTCATTCCATTTTGCAAGTCAGGGGTTCCTTCTGTCTGCCAAGAGAAGGGTTTTGCAGAGAAGAAAAACTGGAGAGAAAGAAAATGGATTGAAATAAATCATTTAGAAGGAAATAAGTTGGAAAGGGGGTGGAGGGCTGCACATACTTCCCCAGAGGCCTCTTCTGCAGTTTGAAAATGCTGCATGCGCCTTGTTAGTGTTTAGTTGCAGCGGATACAGCCAGCGGGAGCCTCTAGGGTTTAGGGTTTAGCGTTTAGGGTTTAGGGTTTGGGGTGTAGAACAGCCCGTGCGGTGGAGGTCTGGCAGGCCGCGGGGATGCGCGGGGAAACGAACTTCTTTCTGGAAAATATAAGACAGATTTTGTGTTTTAATGCCAAAAGATTTTAAGACAATTGAACTCTGGGGGTTTTCTGCTGCGGGTTTCCGCGGCGAGGGGTTCGGTCTCGAGGGGTCGCGCGGTGGTGTTTCTCGGGGCCCTGGGCCTTCATGTTCTGCCGTTTTCGGGAATTCAAGTTCTCAAATTATTATTTTTTGTCAATTCAAGTCACTGGAGTCATTTCAAATTCATATCCAAACGTTTACTGGGAGGATCAGCCCTCCCGTTTTCCATGCCGAGCATCGCTAGTCGACTGTTCGTACACCTGAACACCACCTGCACAGACCATCGATGCAACTTCTTCACCATTTCCTTCCGCGACCGAATTAAACCCTCATCTTATCCTTATTAAGACCCTTTTACGTCTGCAGTTCACATTTTCTTCCGAATTTCGGGTATTCCGGAGATCTTTCGCCAGCTTTCCCGCAATTCAACATCCCGCGCTTCGCCCGAAACGCCCGCGATCTGCAGCCAACTCGCCTCCGCAGGAACCACAGCAAAGCCCATGGCCTCTGGAGCCACGGGCAGAGGCCCGTGGTGGCCCGGCGAGGCAAACGATGCAGCAGCAGCAGCAGCTTTCCTGCCGCGGCTGCTGCAGCAGCCGGCGCATGCAGTCGCGGACTTCCAGAGGCAGCAGCAAGCTCACGAGCAGCTGCAACATCTGCAGCAGCAGCAGCTGCAGCAGCTGCAACAGCAGCAGCTGCAGCAGCAGCAGCTGGAGCAGCTGCGGCTGCAGCAGCAACACAGACCCAGAACTGTCGCCTGGCAGCCCTCTGGCTCCACTGATGATGAGCCTAATTCAGCTTACTATGAGGCGCAGGCCAAGATCGAAGTCACTGCACACTGCAGGCCCAAAGAGGGTGCGACAAACCCTAAACCCTAAACCCTAAACCCTAAACCGTAGTTCACAAGTCCTAAATATTCAAACACTCGTGCGCCTCCTTTCGCAGAGATCTTCCAGGCCTTCAAGGAGGCCATTAGAATGCGCCCTGTTTTGTCTGCAAAACACCGCGAGCTGCTAGTAAGCCCTAAACCCTAAACCCTAAACCCTAAACCCGGAACTTCAAGCGCTGAATTATTCCCCACCCCTTTTTCAGAAGACCGTTCGGACTGAACAAACCCTAAACCCCAAAACTATGTAAAGGCTCTTAGCGGAGGCATCCAAACCCTAAACCCTAAACCCCAAACCCTAAACCCTAGGTGCTTTGGGGTGCTGCGCTGCAGGCCAACACCGTGAAGGGTTTGGTTACTGACCGTCAAGTGTCTTACCAAATGGTGTCTGCAATGGGAGCTGCAATGAAAGCTGCTGCTGCTGCTTGGTCTGCTGCTGGTGAGAAGGGAGCTGCTGCTGCAGTGCAGCTGGCTGCTGCTGCTGCTGCTGCAGCACTCACTGCAGCAGGAGTCTCTCCGCAGGAAGCGGGGCAGCTAGCAGCAGACACAGCGCTGACGAGGGGCGTGGGTGCAGCACGGAATTTGGTGCTGCAGCACAAGGTGCAGCAGCAGCGGCAGCAGAACGCAGCAGCAGCAGCAGCAGCGCTGGAGCGCGCGCAAGCAGCAGCAGCAGCAGCAGCAGCAGCAGACAGAGACGACTCCTCCAGCAGCGGGACAGAGGAAAGCTCAGGGGACCTCTTCGGCAGCAGCGGCGCAGACAGCAGCAGCAGCAGCAGCAGCAGCAGCAGCGGGATCGCGCCGGACTCCGCAGCAGCGCTGAGCCGCGGAGTGCCCATCCCGCAGCAGCTAATGGAAGCAGCAGCAGCAGCAGAGCTGCTGCCTTTTGCTGCTTATTTTCAAAAAAGAATTGAATTCTTTTTGAAGCAACTTATCAAAGAAGTCCAGGACCTCTCCAGAAAAATCCACAGAGTCGTCAAAGCCATGCTCCTCCCCAACGCAGACTCCACCGTAAACCCTAAACCCTAAACCCTAAACCCTAGACCCTGACTTTTTTGGGGCCTAGGGGGTTGCTGGGGGCCTGTAGAGGGACATCCCGTGCGGGCAGAAGTCGTTCAACGGAGGAACAGATTGCTGCTAGGGTTTAGGGTTTAGGGTTTAGGGTTAAGGGGTTGGGGTTTAGTACGGTTTAGGGTTTAGGGTTTAGGGTTTGTGTTTGCTTTCTCAGGAAGCGAAGGTGTTCTATTTGCAGCTGGACGCTGACGTTGCGCGCTACGCAGCTCAGGTGTTTATACAATTCATTTTGGATTGCTCTTTAAATCTTTATTTCATTTTTCTTTTTGCTTTTTTTTCTTTCCTATTTATTTCTCTTATTAATTTCTTTTTAATCTTGTGAAGTAACAAAAAGAAATGCCTTTTTCATTTCTTTTTTTGCACTCTGGGGTGTACGTACACCTGAGTTCTCTGTTGGCATCTCGAGTCTGCCTTTTATTTGAGGTGTACGTACACCGCAGAGGGACAAGTCCACTTGGCCCTTGTGCTGCTGCAGTGTATGTACACCTGAAGCTACTGCTGCAGTGCATGTACACCTGAATCTGCTGCTGCAGTGCATGTGCACCTGAAGCTGCTGCTGCAGTGTATGTACACCTGAAGCTGCTGCTGCAGTGTATGTACACCTGAAGCTGCTGCTGCAGTGTACCTGAAGTGCTGCTGGTTTTAATTTTGTTTTTAAAGATTGTGGTTTTGATTTGCATTGAGTGGATTTGCTTTGCTTTTTGACTTTTGCTGCGTTTGGTTTGCTGCTGCGGCGTTGGGGTGTACGTACACCTGGCTGCAGATTGCGACGGACGGGGAAGAAGTGGAGGAGTTCAGAAAAATGAGTTTAGAACTTTACAGAACTGCTTTATCTCTTTTGCAACAAAACCAAAAAGAAATAAATGAAGCGGAAGAACAAAGTCAAACGGACATTGAAGACCAAGTGCCTCTTTCCCTCAAAATGGGACTCGTGCTCAACTACGCAGGTCCGCTGCTGCTGCTGCTGCTGCTGCTGCTGCTGTGGTCGTGTTGCTGCGGCTGGTGTGGAAGGCGCTAGAGGCGTTTTGTGCTGATGCTGGTTTGCTGCCGCTGCGGCAGCTGCTTAGTAATAAGCTGCTGCTGCTGCTGCTGCCGCTCCGTGATATGCTGCTGCTGCTGCTGCTCTTGCTGCTGCTGCTGCTGCTGCAGTGTTGCTGCACGATGAGCCCGATGGGGCGGAGCAAGCCATAAACGCCTTGGCAGCTCAGTTCAGAGAAGCAGTCGAGAACGTCGTCCACATTTCGTAGGCAAACGCTAAACCCTAAACCCTAAACCCTAAACACACTTTGCATCCTTATAAATTTATTTTTTAATGCATTTTTTATTTCTCTTTAGAACTCATTTATTAATTGCCATTTATTTATCAGTTGTTGTTTGCCAATTTTACTTTCTTTTATTCTTTACCACTATTTCAACTCCTGCATCATTTATTCATTATTTATCAATTATTTAGTATTTACCTATTATTTATTATTATTATTATTCCTGTTTATTATTTGTTTATTCATTTATTTATTTATTTGTTTGCTTGTTTGTTTTGAAGGGACACGGAGGAGAGCCGGCGGGTGGTGATGGTGATGAGTTTGCTGCGGGGGAATGTGGAGGCGTGGTGTGCGGGTAAGTTGGATTTAAATGGCGAATTTTGTTTATTTTTTCATTTATTATACATTTAAATTCAAAGTAATTTATTTATTTATTATTTTAAAGTCAAAATTGCAATTTAAATGCAAAAAATCCGCAAAAATTCGCCGGAGCCGCCCGGCCAAGTTGCCGAGACACCGCGGCGCCCTCAGGTGTATGTACACCGGAAGGCCCCAGGAAGAAAAATTGAAAATAAATAAAATAATGAAAAAGTTACATAAGTTAATAAATAAATCATTTATTTAAATTAATTAATTACTCAATTAAGTAATTAAATTAATTAATTGATCAAATAAAGCAGAAAAGAGACAATTTGAATTTGTTTGGCTGCGGCGCTGAAAGGATGCGTTGTCTGTACACCACTGATCTGTTTTGTGCTGCTGCTGCTGCTGCTGCTGTTGCTGCTGTTGCTGCTGCTGTTGCTGCTGCAGAGGCAAATCGAAAAGACGCAACAAAGCTGCTGGGCCTCGACGGCTCTGCTGCGCTGCTGATGTAGGACTTTTGCTGCTGAAGGGGATTTTATCTTTTACCTTTCCCTTTCTTTTTATTTGTTTCTTTTATTTGTTTCTTTTGATTTAATTTGCTGTTTTACTCCTCTATTTTGTCTCCCCTTTGCTTCTTTCATTTCTTTCTTTTGCTTCGTTTTTTTCTTATCTCCTTTTTGGTTTCTTTTATCTCCCCGGCGGCGCTTAAACAGCAGCAGAAGCGGCAGAAGCAGCAGCAGCAGCAGCAGTAGCAGCAGCAAATGTTCTAGGGGGCCACTCACGCAGGCCCCAGGTGTACAGACACCTCATTCTAGCAGCGCCGCAACTAAACAAAACAAATTCTCCTTTTCTTCTTATACGCCTTCAGCTAGCTACAGCTAGCCACAGCTAGCTACAGCTAGCTACGGCTAGCTAGCCATAGCTAGTCAGAAATAGCTACAGCAAGAGGGCTATGGCTAGCTGCAGCTAGCCATAGCTCTCATAGCTAGCTGTATTGTTTCTTCATTTTGGTCTTAAAGTGGTTGAGGCTGCCTTCGCGAGCTGCGCAGCTGCTAACTGCCGCTGAGTCCCGCCAGCTAGCTAGCTAGCTAGCTAGCTACCTAGCTAGTAAGTAAGTAAGTTAGTTAGTTAGCTAGCTAGCTAGCTAGTGAGTATGGCTAGCTGACGGACACATTGCTGCAGGGCGGAGTGTAGATAGTCAATTATGGCGCTGTTTGATTGTGGGGGGAAGCAGCGCGGCAATCCTCTCTTTGCTGCTGCTGTTGCTGCTGCTGCTGCTGCTATTGCTGCTTCTGGTGCTGCTGCTGCTGCCGACTTTTCCTGAAACCGCTGCTTTGCCGCATCACTGCTGCTGCGGTTGGTCCTGGTGCTGCTGCTGCTGGTCCTGCTGCTGCTGCTGCTGCATTTGCTGCTCTTGCTGCTGCTCTTCCTGCTGCTGCTGCTGCTGCTGCTCCGTTTCGAAGTAATAGAAAGTCCCGTCTCCTCCAAAGTAGCCTCTGCAGATTCCCTGGGCGTCATAAGCAAAGCCATGTTCATCATAGACAAATCCATACTGGTCTAGCTGCAGCTCAATGCCTTCTGCTGCTGCTGCTGCTGCTACTGCCTCTGGGGCTGCTGCAGCTGCTGCGCCCCAGTCTGCTGCTGCTTCTTCTGGGACTGCTGCTGCTGCTGCTGTCCAGTTTGCTGCTGCTGCCGGTGAGATCGTTGCCTGCAGCGCTCCTGCTGCTGCTGCTGCAGGCGGTATTGTGGCCTCCAGCGTTGCTGCTGCTGCTGCTGCTGTAGGGGCAGCTGCTGTGCTTGCTACGGCTGCGGGGCTGTGCTGCTGCTGCTGCGCCTGCTGCTGTTGTTGCTGCGCTTGTTGCTGCAAATGATGCTGCTGTTGATGCTGATACGTTTGTTGCTGCTGCAACAGATGTTGCTGCAATTGTTGCTGCTGCAGTTGGTGCTGCTGCAGTTGTTGCTGCTGCAACTGTTGCTGATGCATTTGCTGTTGCTGCTGTTGGTGTTGCTGCTGGAGCTGTTGCTGCTGATGCAGTTGCTGTTGCTGCTGGAGCTGCTGTTGCTGCTGCTGTTGCTGCTGCGATTGCTGTTGCTGCTGCAACTGCTGTTGCTGCTGCGATTGCTGTTGGTGCTGCAACTGCTGTTGCTGCTGCAGTTGCTGCTGCTGACGCTGTGGTTGCTGCTGGTACTGCGACTGTTGCTGCTGCTGGTGCTGCGCTTGCTGTTGCTTCTGGATTAGCTGCTGCTGCTGCGCTCCCTGCTGCTGCTGCTGCTCTTGGTGTTGTTGTTGCTGCTGCGCTTGGTGTTGCTGTTGCACTTGTTGCCGCTGCGCTTGCTGCTGCGCATTTTGTTGTTGTTGTTGCTGTTGTTGTTGCTGCTGCTGCTGCTGCGGCTGCTGCGGCTGCTGCTGTAGCTGTTGCTGCTGTTGCTGCTGCTGCTGTTGTTCCTGCGGCTGCGGCTGCGGCTGCTGCTGTTGCTGCTGCTGCTGCTGGTCTGCTGGTGCTGCAGCCGCGCCTCCGTCGTTTGCGCCCGGCGCAGCCCCATCCTTCCCGCCACCGCTGCTGCTGCTGCTGCTGCTGCTGCTGCTGCTGGTCTGGGGCTCCTGCTCCCTGCTGCTGCCCTCTGCAGTCACTTCTATTATTTTGCTCGCCAGCAACGTAGCCACAGCCTGCACATCTGCTTCAAACCCTAGGGGGCCCCCCGAGGGTTCAATTTCGGGTTCAAGTTCTTCCATTAAGTTGCTAGGGAGGGGCCCCAAGGCCTCCCCGGGGGCCTCCCCGGGTACTTTGGGGACCCCCAGGGGCCTCAGGGGCCCCCCCGGGGCTTCGGGGGCCTTCGGGGGGCCCCCGGGGGCCCCCCAGTGCTGCGCGGTCGTCCGCTGCAGCTGGAGCTGCTGCTGCTGCTGCTGCTGTTCCTGCTGCTGCTGCTTGCTGCGAATACCTGCGGCTGCGCGAAATCTCCTTCTCAAGAACGTTGCGGAAACCCTCAGCAACTGGAGAACTTACCCGCTGCTTCTCTTTGCTGCTGCTGCTGCTGCTGCTCTGCTGCTCCCCGTCAGAGGCGCACCTGCTGCTGTTGCTGCTGCCGCTGCTGCTGCTGCTGCTTATGCTGCTGTCGCTGCCAGCCTCCGCCCGCCGCCGACGCCGCTCTGCGCGACGGCGCCTGAATTTAATGCTCACTTATAAACCCTAAACCCTGAAGCCTAAACCCTAAACCCTTATGTATGTACTTATATGCAGGCCCAGCTTTATGCAATACTAGTGACGTTTCCCCCTTTCTGCCCTTCTGTTCCAAACCCTAAACCCTAAACCCTAAACCCTTTTCTGACTGTTGAGCTTCTGCTTCTTCTTTTCTTTTTCTTTCTTGTTCTTCTCTTTCTCTCTTTTCTTGTTCTTCTTTTAGCTGCTGCTGCTCTTCAGCCTTTCTCGCTGCTTCTAAAAACAGCTCTCGCTGCAGCTCCAGCTCGTCTTGCTTCCGCTGCTGCTCCTCCAGCAGCCGCTGCTGCTCCTCTGCAGCAGCAGCAGCAGCAGCAGCAGGCCAGTCCGCGTGCGTTGGCCTCTCGACAATTCCTAAACCCTAAACCCTAAACCCTAAACGCTGGACCCTGAACTCCAGCGGCTGAGCCGCTGAGCCATGCACTGCTCCAAACCACAGTACACCCCAGGCGCAAACCCTAAACCCTAAACCCTAAACCCTAGACCCTAAACCCTTAACCCTAAACCCTCGGAGCGCACCGAGGAGGAGCCTGTAGGGCTGTTCGTCGTACTGGTAGCAGTCTATGAACTGCTGCTCTCCTGCTTCCTCTTCTATCTTTTTCAAACTTTGCTGCTGCACTTCTGCTTCTGCTGCTCGCAGCTGCTGCAGCAAAGACAGCAGCCGCATTTCTTTTGCTTCTTCGCCCCCCGGCACGGCCTCGCTGCTCGCGCTGTCCTGCCGCATCCGCTCCCACGTGGCGCTGCAAACCACAAACCCTAAACCCTAAACCCTAAACCTTAAACCGTGAACTCTAAGCCCTCAGCGCTCCTAGGAGGCCCTTGGGTTTTTCCTCTAAACCTTGAACCCATGGCCCAAGGCCTAGGCCTTAAACCCTAAACCCTAAACCCTAAACCCTAGATCACCTGTTGGCTTGCATGACGCAAACCCTCGTGTCGAGGTCACCGGGGAAGAACCAGGCGAGTATAGAGTAGAAGGGAACGAAGACATTATCTAAAACCAATCAGAAATATTAAAAAGAAACAAAATTAATTAAATTCGACTTTTAATTTCATTTAAAAATTCATTTGTAGCCGAAATTCAAGACTCTCCGCGAGCTGTGCATGCAGCTGAGGTGTACATACACCTCAAACCAACGGCAATTGCGAAAAACCGCCGGAGAATTTCTTGTGCTTCACTTTGTGATGCAAATCTGTTTAAACTGATTAATTGATTGTTAAATAAATAAATAAAAAAATAAACAAATAAAACAGTTTTATAATTCATTTGAGGCTAAAGTTGCCTTTTTTTGCGTTCATTTAAGCTCAAGTTGAGCTCCGTAGACACCCGAGCTGAGGTGTACATACACCTCACCAATGTAGTGAATCATCGTCGTGGCCAAACAGTTTTCTGTGGGCAGCTGAAGTGGAAAAAGAGAAATAAAAAACAATTAAAAATAAAAACTAAATGAAATAATAAATAATAAATTAAAATTAATCATAATAGACAGATATAAAGGAATATTCGAGATAGCAAATGAACAGGGAAATAGGGTATATTTAAAATACCAAGTTTGCTCTTCGCAGCTAAACCCTAAACTCTAAACCCTTCATCTTAAACCCTAAACCCTTAGCCCTGAACCCTAGCTTACGACAACGTTGGGAGCGCTCTGAGGGATTTTCAAGGCCTCTTCCAGAGTGTTCTGAGCACAACAGATTCAGTTAGTTAATTACTTGATTAATTTATTTTTTTGTTTCCTAGGGTTTAGGGTTTAGGGTTTAGGGTTTAGCTGGTCCTTTTTGCCCGCAATCTGGAGACGCCAGACAAACAAAAGTTTTATTTTTTCATCAAGGGTACTTCTTTATTAGAATTCATTAATTTTTCTGCATGCACCTAAACCCTAAACCCTAGACCCTAAACCCTGAATCCTAAACCGTAAACCCTGAATCCTAAATCCTACCTGAAAGTGCAATTCGAGCAGCATCCTCTCTCCCCATTTTCGGTGAAGAGAAAAGTTTGCCAGCACCCACGCGTTGTCAGCTGCACCCAAACCCTAAACCCTAAACCCCAAACCCTAAACCCTAAACCCTAAACCCTAAACCCTGAATACCCAAGCGGACCACCTTAAAATGTAAATTCTAAATCTTAATAAACCCAAAACCTCGACCCTACTCCTGAATACCCAAGCGGACCACCTTAAAATGTAAATTCTAAATCTTAATAAACCCAAAACCTCGACCCTACTCCTTAAACCCTAAACCCTAATAAACCTTCGCAAGCCCTAAAATCATGGAGCCTTTTGAGGGTTTATTCGAAAGTCTTCCAAAGCCTCTGTAAACCCTTAAACCCTCATACACCCCCCCAAACCTTTATAAACCCTCGTAACGATTAAACCCTAAACCCCAAAATAACAAAATGCCTTTCAAAACCCTCCTAAACCCTTCTAGACCCTCCTAAACCCTCCCCCAAACCCTCCTAAGCCCTTTTGAACCTCCATAAACCCTCATAAACCCTCAAACCCACCCGTAAACCCCCTTAGACCTCTTAAAACCCCCTTAAACCCCCGTAACCCCTTCAAATTCTCGTAAACCCTCGCAACGCCCGCACCCCCCCTAAACCCTCGAAACCCCCCCAAACCCTCATAAACCCTCGTAAACCCTCGTGAATTCTCGTAAGCTCTCATAAACCCTCGTAGATTCTCGCAAACCCTCATAAGCCCCATAAACTCTCCTAAACCCTTGTAAACCCTCTTAGATTCTCGCAAACCCTCGTAAACCCTCGGACAAGAGGGATCTATACCGGCGCGTATAAGGCAGGCGTCTCGGGTGGCCTCGTCAAGGAGGGCCGCGGGAGTCGCTGAATTAGGGTTTGCGTCTTTGAGGGTTTGGAGAGAGTCTGCGAGGAGGAAGTGTGAGTCTGGCTGTGTGGCGAGGATGGCGCGGGTGATGCGGTGTTTGGCGGTTTGCTGCTGCTCGGGCGTAAACCCTAAAAAGAGGTTTGCGTCTTCGCGCTCCAGCAGCGATAGCAGCAAATAAGAATGAAAACGCTGCAGCACAGATTTCTCGTTAAACAAAACAGCACATAAGCTTCGACAAGACACCAACGCCGAGTTCGTAAAGCCCGGGTGGCCCACGTTGTGGCCCAGCGCTGCACGCAAACCCTAAACCCTAAACCCTAAACCCTAAACCCTGGACGCTGAACCGTGGGTAACGAACAGTAAACCCTAAATGGCAAATAATAGATCTGGGACAATGAACAAGGAACCGGGGACCCGAGGTCCGAAACCCGAATTGCAGAACCCGGAACCCTATAAACCCTAAACCCTTAACCCTAAACCCTAAACCCTAAACCCTAGACCGTGGACAACAGATAGTAAACCCTAAACCGCAAACAATAAACCTGGGATAATGAACAAGAAACTCGAAACCCGAAATTCGAAACCCGGGATGCGAAACCTGAAACCTTAAAAGCCCTAAACCCCTAAACCCTAAACCCTAAACCCTCGTTCACCTGCCAACACCATCCAGAATTGGTCTTCAAAGGAAAACCATCGCTGGAAGGAATAGTCTTTGCAAATTAAAGTGATGACCTGATGACAAATAAATAAATAGTAAATAAATAGATAGCGAATGTTTAAATTTAATTCCCCGGCTGAGTGAATCAATTAGCAGAAAAAGCAGCAAGCAGCTGCTGCTGCTGTTGCTGCTGCTGCCACTAAGCTGCTGCTACAACAACAACAACAACAACAACAACAACAACAACAACAACAACAACAACAACAACAACAACAACAACAACAACAACAACAACAACAACAACAACAACAACAACAACAACAACAACAACAACAACAACAGATACTACTACTACTACTACTGCTACTATTAGTACTACTGCTGCTGATGCTGCTGCTGCTGCTGTTGCCGCTGAGCTGCTGCTACAACAACAACAAGAACTGCTGCTGCTGCTGCTGCTGCTGTTGCCACTGAGCTGCTGCTACAAAAGCAACCACTACTGCTGCTGCTGCTGCTGCCACTGCAACAAAAACATCACCAACAACTACCGTCGCTGCTGCTGCTGCCGCTGCTGCTGCTGCTGCTGCCGCTGCTGCTGCTGCTGCTGCACCTGTGCAACGTGGAGTCCGTGGTTGAAGGAGTGGAAAGGAACATTTAAATAATTATTTTGCAGCAGCAAAATAAACTTTTCAACTGTTGCTTCTGGCAAAGAAAAATCAGCGCGCCGCGCCACCCACTGCAGCAGCTTCGAGGCCTGCAGCAATTCCCAAACCCTAAAAAAGGGTTTTGTCTTCAAGGCTTTTTCGCAGGTTTGAAGGTGTTCAATTTGATTTAAAAGCATGCTTAATTTACTTGAAAAAGATGTTTAATTTGATTAAAAAAGATATTTAATTAAGTTTAAAAAAGATATTTTGTTTGATTCAAAAAATATATTTAATTGGATTTAAAACAAGTACTTGACCAGTTTTTTTAAGATATTTAACCCGATTAATTATATTTAATTACTTTTGGCAGATATTTAATTACAAATAAAAGATATTAATTTAAAGTTAAAAGACATTTAGTTAGACGTTTAGTTAGATCAAAAAAACATTTAAATAAATTTAAAAAACATTTTTGATTGAATTTAAAAGCTATTGATTTAAAATTAAAAGATATTTCATTAAAAAAGAACTTTTAATTCATTTAGAGGGCGAAAAAATGATAAAAAACAAATCAAAGAATATAAAATAAATAAAAGTAAATAACAGCAACAAGATATAAACAAACGAAAAATGAATAAGTAAAATAATGAGATAAACGAATGAAATAATAAATAAACAAACAAACAAATAATATTTTTAATGAATTTAAAATAGCTTAATAAATAGAATTACAAATAAATAAAATAAAAACAAATAAAAAATAATAAATAAAAATGGCAGATGGCTTTGCAGCAAAATGGCAAGAAACAAAAAGACGAAAAATGAATTTTTGAAAACTTCGAAATTAAAATGAAATATTTAAATATAATATAAATGCAAATTATAATAAATGAATAAATAAATAATTAAACTAAATTAATATTAATCGAATAATAAAATTAATTAAACGATGAATAAATGAATAAATAAATAAAATGATGAATAATAGAATAATAAAATAAAGAAATGGCAGATGCGGTAGAAAAAGAAAAGGCCGAAAGAAAAATAAATTGATAAATCAAGCAAGGGGAAAAAGAGTTTGCAAACAAAAAAATAAAACAAATAAAATAAAATAAAATAAATTAAAATTAAAAGAAATAAATAAAATAAATTGTGAGTTTGGCATGAGTTTAGCAAAACAAAAGAATAAAAATGCGAAATAAAAGAAATGAGTTTGCCAAAAGGAACAAAAGCTAAAAAAAAGAAAACAGAATTTAAAAATGAAGACAAAAAGAATTAAATAAAACAAAACAAAATAATATTTAAATTAAACAAAAAGAAATAAAAAACAAAACAAAAGGGCAGCAGGATAAAGCAAAGGAATTAAAATTCAAATTAAATTAAAAAAGTGAATGAAGAGAAAAACCTGAAATAAGGGCACCGGAAATTAGAGAAAAAGAAATCGAACAAATCAAAATAAAAAACATCAGAATTAAACAAAAAGGAATAAAAGAATAAAGGAACAAAAAGAACAAAAGAATAAAACAAACAAACAAAATAAATAAAACAAGAAAACAAAAAAAACAAATAAAAACTGACAAGTTTTACAGCTTAGACTCTATGCAGCGAAGTCAAACAAATATCAAACAAGCCGAGATAAAAGCGCCTTTAAATACACCGAAACGAAGCAAATAAAAGAATAAAAAGAATAAAAGAATAAAACAAAACAAATAAAAGAAATGAAACGAAAAACAAACAAAAACTGACAAGTTTTGCAGCTTTGACTCTGTGCAGCGAAGTCAAGTCGAAGTCCCAGCTGTACAGACACTCGAGGCCTGGGGCGCTTTGGGCGCGGTGGAATTCTTTGAGGCGGTGGAGGTGGGGCTGTGTGGGGTGGAGCGCGGAGTGGCTGTTGAGTCTGAATTTGAGGGTTTTGAACGTCAAAAACACCCTTTTAAACCCCAAATTGGGGCTTTAAACCCCGAGCTCTTATTTGCTTCCTTCTTTTAGACAAAATTCCAGAAAAAAACGACCCAAAATCACCCAGAAACACATGAAACGCTAATTGTCCCGCACCTAGGGTTTAGGGTTTAGGGTTTAGGGTTTAGGCACCTTGCGAACGCCCACAAAGTGCACGCTGGGACCGCGTAAGCCGCTGAAATGCCCCAAGTGTAGTCTTGTTGCTGCAGCACAAAGCACCAGCAGCAGCAGCAGCACATATTAGCAGCAGCAGCAGCAGCAGCGACAGACGCAGCAACAAAGGCTGCAGCACGAGCATCACCATCATCCTCAGCAGCAGCAGCAGCAGCAGCACGAAGTGCAGCAGGAAATGCATCGGCAGCAACGGCTGAAGCATTAGCATCAACATTAGCACTTGCAGAAGCAGCAGCAGCAGCAGCAGCAGCAGCAGCTTTACTTCATCTGGGTTGGGCAGCTGCACTTGAGTCTCTTGCGGCTCTGGAGGCTTTTCTTCTTTTTCTAAATTCTCTTGAACCATCGTAAACAAAGTTTTTATGTTGTAAGAATAAGGCGCATTCTCATTACCTGCAGCAGCAGCAGCAGCAGCAGCAGCAGCAGGAGAGGTGCAGAGATGGACGTGAGGGCGGCAGCAGCAGGAGCGGCGGTAGAAGCAGCATCAGCAACAGTTGCAGGAGCAGCAGCAGTGGCAGCAGCAGCAGCAACAACAACAAAATCAACAGAAGCTACAGCAGCAGCAGCAGCACAAAAGAACAGCAAGAACTGCAACAGCATCAGCAGCAATTGCAGCAGCAGCACCAGCAGCAGCAGCACCAGCAGCAGCACCACCACCATCAGCAGCAGCACCATCACCAGCAGCAGCAGCACCACCAGCAACAGCAGCACCAGCAGCACAAATAGCAGCAGCACCATCAGCAGCAGCAGCACCAACAGCAGCAGCAGCAGCGCCAGCAGTAGCACTATCAGCAGCACCACCAGCAGCAGCAGCACCAACAGCAGCAGCAGCAGCAGCAACAGCAGCAGCAGCAACAGCAGCAGCAGCAACAGCAGCAGCAGCAGCAGCAGCAGCAGCAGGACCAGCAGCAGCTTGTTGTCCATCGAGGCGTTTGCACTCATTAGCAGTTTGAACTTGAATAAAATAAATTCTGCTTTTGACCAAATCTTGAAAATGAAAATCTGCTTCGCCAGGCAGCAGCAACTTGCACTTGTTGCTTATCAACTCCTTGTAGATGTTCAACACTGCACACCCAAACCCTAAACCCTAAACCCTAAACCCTAAACCCTAAACCCTAAAACCCTAAACCCTCGAAAGCCTAAACCCTCAAACCCTAAACCCTCGAAACGCTTGTTGCTCATTAACTCCTTGTGTATGTTCAACATTGCAAAATGCAAACCATAGGCCCTAAATCCTAAACCCTAAACCCTGAACCCTCGAAACCCTCAAAACCCTAAACCCTCAAACCGTAAACCCTCAAAAGGCTTGTTGCTTGTCAACTCCTGGTATATGTTTAACACTGCACGCCGCTAACCCTAAACCCTAAACCCCCAAACCCTAAACTTTCAAGTCCTAAACCGTTGAAACCCTAAACACTCACACAGTAAACCCGCGAGACGATAAACACGCACAAACCCTAGAGCCTAGCTAAGCCAAGGGCATTTTGGAGTTTGGGCCTTTTCAGGGTTTAGGGTTTAGGGTTTGGAAATAAAGAACGTTTTGATGTTTGAGCCCTTTTAGGGCTTAGGGTTTAGGGTTTAGGGATTAGGACGTCTAAGGGTTTGGGCCCTTTGAAAGTTCAGCGTTAAAGACGCTTTAAAGCTTGGCCCTTTCAGCACTCACCCTCCAGGCCCCAGGGCTTAGGGTTTAGGGTTTAGGGTTTAGGGTTTAGGGTTTACGGTCGGTGGCGAATCCGAACTGGTTGAAGCAGCGGATGACGTAGTTGCTGTAGTGGCGCAAACCCTCGGGAAGTTGGGAGTTGTTTTTGAAAACAAAAGCAGCAACAGGATCTTTAAAGTTTTCTGCAAAGATTTGCTGCTGCTTCGTTTTGCTGCTGCTGCTGCTGCTCTCCAGAGAAGCCAGCGAAGACAGGCCCTGCGCGCAGCAACCCTTGCTGCTGCTTCCTCTTTATTTACTTATTCTTTATTTACTTTTGATTAGTTAATTAATTAATTAATTAATTAATTAATTAATTAATTAATTAATTAATCAACTAGTTAATTCATTTATTTATTTATTTGTTTGTTTGTTTTTTTGGCTTTTTGCTTTTGTTTTATTTTCTCAAGTTTCAGTTTCGCCGAATTTTGCAAATTCGCGAATTTTTTATTTCTCGAATTGCACAAAAATAACTTGAAAATAAATCAAGGTAATTAATTAATTTAAATAAATAAATAAATAAATAAATAAATAAATAAATAGATAATTGATTAATGATAATAAATGGACCAATTAATTAATTAATTAATTAATTAATTCTCCTTATTTATTTATTTGCATTTTTGGCTCTTACGGATTCGCCCTCGTGCCCAGTTTCCTTCGTGCCGCTTCTTTCCCTGAAAATAAAAAATAAAAAATAATAAATAAATAAATAACTAAATGAATAAATAAATAGATAAATAAATAAATAAATAACAATAATTAATCACGAACAGACAAATAAACAATAAACAAACAGAGAAAGGAGCCGAACTAGATGCGCGAAAAGCCACTTCCAGATGCTATAAACCCTAAACCCTAAAGCCTAAACCCTAAACCCTAAACCCCAAACCCTAAACCCTAAATTATTGACTTACAGGCTGCTAATTGAGCTTTCAACTTTACTTTGAGCGGAAATGGAGGAGAACATCTGCAGCGCCTCGCAGCCCAAACCCCAAACCCTAAACCCTAAACCCTAAACCTCAAACGTTTGGCTCTTCCAGTGTTTCCTCCCAATTGCTTCTCGAAAAGGGTTTAGGGTTTAGGGTTTAGGGTTTGGGTACGCTGGCTCTGTTGTCTGGTTTGTTGCAGCTGCTTGCTGCTGCTTCCCAGAAGCTGCCGCGGCCATAAGAAAGTCTTTGCCAGTTGCTGCGGCCGCGGCGTCTGTTGCTGCTGCTGGCCACAGCAGCAGCAGCAGCAGCAAGCACTGCAACAACATCTGAAAACAGCAAATTGTCTTCCACCACCAGCATCTGCCGCGGGGGCTTGTTGTCCACAGTTGCTGCAGCAACACACAAACTAGGGTTTAGGGTTTAGGGTTTACGCCTTGCGAGAGAGCGTTTATGGGTTTAACGCTTAACGGGCTAGGGTTTGGGGTTTAGGGTTTAGGGTTTGTCTCGCTGCTCCTCCGAGGGTTTTGAGCCTCGCGTCTAGGGTTTAGGGTGTAGGGTTTAGGGTTTATCTCGCAGCTCCTCCGAGGGCCCTGAGCCCCGCGTTGAGCACCTAGGGTTTAGCGTTTAGGGTTTAGGGTTTGTCCCGCGTCTCGTGCGAGGTCCTGAGCCCCGCGTTCCCTGTGAAGCGTTTAGGGTTTAGGGTTTAGGGTTTAGGGTTTAGGGTTTAGGGTTTAGGGTTGATGTGGAGGACCAGCGGTGACGAGGAGCGGTTTTCTCTGGAGGTCTGTGTTGTTGCCGTTGTCCTTGTCCCTGTTGCTGCTGCTGCTGCTGCTGCTGCTCTTGGGCTTCACGAGCTGCACAAGCTGCGGGACTCTGTGGATTGCGGGAACTGAAAAAGCAATTGCATTTCCCAAATGCATTTGAGAATCAAAAATGAAAAGTGCCAAAAGTTTGGATTTATTAGTTGCCAATTGGTCATTTAATTCCGGAATGGAGTTTATTCCGAGCAGCTTGAGGCCCCCCAGCTCGCACGCGTTGCTCAGGTGCCCGCTGCTGCTGCTGCTGCTGCTGCTGCTGCTGCTGCTGCTCAGGTTCATCTGCAGCACGCACGCGTTCCGCAGACCCTCGAAGTTCGGGTGCAGGTCCCCAACCTGAAACGTACAACCAACTTTTAGTTTTATTTATTTTATTCTATTCATTTATTTTATTTATTTTGTTTTATTTGTTTTATTATATTTGTTTTATATGTTTTGTTTCTTGTATTTTATTTGGGGTCTTTTGCGCGCATTTTGATGCGCGCTTGCTCGGATTCGACCCCGCTTTCTAATGCTGTTGCTACTGCTGCTGCTGATGGCAGCAGCAGCTGCAGCAGCAGCAGCAGCGGCAGGCGCAGTCGTACCGCACCAGCAGCAGCATTGGTGGTAGTGGCAGCAGCAGCACTACAAACACTAGCAGCAGCACCAATGATAGCATTAGCAGCAGCAGCACTGATGAATTTAGTATTATCAGCAGCAGCAGCGTTAGGAGCAGCAGCCCTCATGGCATTATAAGCAGCAACAGCAGCGATATGGGCAGCGGCAGCAGCATTTGAAGCAGCAGCAGCAGCAGCATTTGAAGCAGCAGCAGCAGAAGCATTATTACGAGAAGTTGCAGGAGCTCTAGGAAGAGCAGCAGCGTCACTATTATGATCAGCAGCAGCAGCACTCTTTTTATCAGCAGCAGCAGCATTATTATGAGCAGCAGCAGCGTTATTATGAGCAGCAGCAGCAGCAGCAGCAGTTGTGTTTGGTTTGTGGAGTAGGGGGAGCGAATTACAGCAAATCTACCGGGGGCCTGTAGGGAGAATTCGAGGGAGAAGTTGCTTTCGCTGCTGCTGCTGCTGCTGCTGCTGCTGCTGCTGGCCTTGAGGCCCCCCGCGAGATCAGCAGCAACTTTATTTGCTGTTGCTAATTGATAACCAAATGCATTTAATTCTTTCAAGTTTTCAGATCGCAAAAGTTCCGAAAGTTCCAAAGACGGAGGCAGCGAAAAGCGCCCTTTAAACATTATCTGAAACGCAACACAAAGGGTTTAGGGTTTAGGGTTTAGGGTTCAGGGTTTGGGGTTTTAAACCCAAAAGTTCCGAGGGTTTAGAGTTTAAACGCGACAAAAATCTGAGGGTTTAGGGTTTTAATGCGACAAAAATCCGAGGGTTTAGGGTTTCGAGAGAGGGTCAAGGCTTTAGAGTTTAGGGTTTAGGGTTTTGCAGCACAAGAAGTTTGAGGGTTTAGGGTTCCGAATTGTCGACTTTAAAATTTTGAATTTTCAAATTTTGAATTTAAAACTCAAATTGTGGAAATTCATATTTTCGATTTCTCCAAATTTGGCAAATTTCGGTCCAACTTTTTCAAAATTTGTTTTTAAAAGTTCAAATTTGAATTTAAAAATTCAAATTAATTCAAATTGGGGTTTCAAAAATTCAACTTTATGCAAATTAAGACCATGCCCAAAAGTCTGAGTTGAACAGCATCAGAAATGCATTTAGTGCAGCAAATACGCGGAAAATTCGAAAAGTAAGCGCAAAATTGCAAATTAAAAAGCAAATTACAATAAATAAATTAAAATAAATGCATATTGGGAATAATAAATGCAAATTAAGGCAAATTAAACTCATGATTGATCCAGTGGACAGACCACTCGTGCACACGAGAGGTCCATTTCCGAATAATTTGACCTCTGATCTGCTTCTAAATCCAATTAAATCCAAAACTAAATTAAATTTGAGCAAATTAAATTAAATTAGATTAAATTAAATTAATTTAAATTGATTTTAACTGCGGATTCCTCGGATTTGAGCTTCGAGGCGGCGTGCATGCGCTGCTGCGCAGCCAGCCAGTCCCGCGGGGCTGCGAAGGTCCCTCTGCACTCACCAGCACCTCGAAAAGCTTTAATTCGTTTCTGTTTTCAATTAAAGGTGCATTTTTATTCAAAACTTTCTTCGCTGTGAGTTTTATTTCGAGTTCGCTGCAGCTGCAGTCCGCCACGAGGAAGTCCAGCAGCCGCAGCAGCGCGGAGCGCACCCTGGAGAATTCAAACTCCCGCAATTATTCAAAATTCAAAGGAATACGGACAATTCAACGAATTAATTTCAAATTAAATGAATAAAAACCCACAAAGAAACAAATTTATTTCAAATTAGAGGAATATAAGCCAACAAATAAACGAAACTTGAACGGATCTGCGACGCAGGGCAAGGGCTCGTTCGCCGTGGGTTTCTTGAAGTGAATTAAATTGGATTTTGAAGGATGTAAAGTGAATTAAATTTAATTTTGAAGGGTTTAAAGTGAATTAAACTGAATTCTATATCTAATTAGTTTATTGTTTAGCTTTTCTGCAGAACTAGACGTTTAATTTGAGGCCTATTTGCCTGATTTTGTCTACGAGGATTCCGGTGGGGCAGCAGTTGGCGTAGGAGGTAGCTGGATGTACACCTGAAATGCATTTCAAAAAATGCCAAATTGTTGCAAATTAAATCCAATTACAATTATTTAATTAATTTATTTCAAAAGGGAGAAAAAAGGAAAGATTGGCAGCAAATCAAATGCCAAATTGAACACAATTTAACCATTTAAAACGCAAGTGCACATATTCAACAAACCGCTTCGCAAGGCCCGGAAGCTACAAATAAAAGAATAATAAATAAAATAATTAAAAATAGTAACTAAAATAGATAGAAGTAAGAATAGTAAAATAAGTAAAATGAGAAATAAAACGATAACTAGCATTTATAATTCTGCAGAATAGTTATCAAACAAAAGCAACTCTTCATCGCCTCTTCAAATATACAGGAATATCATTTGCATTTAAATTAAAAATAACAATTCATCTGAAATTTATTTATTTTTCGATTTTATATAATGGAGCAAATTCAACTTTCAACCAGTGCCAAAAGCATCTCTAGCTGCCACAATCAGGCTGCTGCTGCTGCTGCTGCTGCTGCTGTTGCTGCTGCTGGTGTTGCTGTTGCTGACACTACTGCTGCTGACACTGCTGCTGCTCCTGCTCCTAAGCTACGACTGCTGCTGCTGCCGCTGCTGCTGTACTACTACTGCTGCTGTTGCTGACGCTGCTGCTGCTAGTAGGCAACTTCAACTGCTGCTGCTGCTGCTGCTGCTGCTGCTAGTGGGGGCTGACCTCTGGCCCTGAGTTCGTGTCTGTAGACCTCCAGGCAGCCATCGAGAAGAGTTCGAATCGGAATTATTTCTTTTGTGTCAACACAAGACTGCAGCTCCAGCCCCACATGCAGCGCAGCAGTGTGGCTTTGCTGCAGGGCCTGGTGGATCGACGCCTCCATCATCCGCATCATCTGCATCAGCGCAGGCTGCAGCAGCAGCAGCAGCAGCAGCAGCAGCAGCCAGCAGCAGCAGCAGCCAGCAGCAGCAGCAGCAGCAGCGGAGGGAGGCGTTGTGGATGGGCAATTCGTTTATTGTTTCGTCTACTTGTTGTTTATTTGCCCTTTATTCTAAACTCAACTGCTGCTGCTGCTGCTGCTGCTGCTGCTGCAGTTACCGGAGCTTCGGAAGCAACTAAGATGGACTGAATGCCACAAATGAGTTTTAGGCGGCCCAAAATTCTTTGCTCTGTTACACACTGCAGCACCATCACCAGGTTCTCGAGCTTCCGCTGCAGCACCTGTTGCAGCAGCAAATAAATAAACAACAGATAAATTAAATAATAAAATAAATAAATAAATAAATAATAAATAGATTAATAATAATAAATGAGAGTGGAAGACAATAATTCGTTTAGTTGCTGCTTTATTTGACGGAGGGGGGGCTAATAAAGGCTTTGGTGATTTGCTTCAGCATGCAGCAGCAGCAGCAGCAAAAGCAGCAACAGTAGTAGTATTAGCAGCAGCTGAGTGGCAGCAGCAGCAGCAGTAGCACTAGAACAAGTAGTAGTATTAGCAGCAGCAGCTTAGTGGCAACAGCAGGAGAAGCAACAGCAGCAGCAGCAGCAACAGCAGCATGAGACAAATCAACGCATGCAAGCAACCAAATTGACCGCTGAAAAAACGAATAACTAGACAAACAAATAACAAACAAAATAATTAATTAAACTAATTAATTAATTAATTAATTAATTAATTAATTAATTAATTAATTAATTAATTGATTAATTGATTAAAGAAATCAAATAATTAATTATTGAATTAGTGAATTAATTAATGAATTGGGCCTCGCCTGGTCAATTCTTTGCAAGTTTCCCCAGAGGTGTTCAAAGCGTTGTCGAAAAGCTTTTTCGAATTTATCTTTTCTTTTCCAAAGTGCCAAAGAAATTAAATAAATCAAAACCAACATCAGCACTGGCACCAACGTGTTCCCCTCTCGGTTTTCATATGCTGCATGCACCCCACACCCCCCTGCTGCTGCTGCTGCTGCTGCTGCTGCGGCGCATTTGCTGCTGCTGCGCCGCCTTTGCATTTGCAGTTGCCGCTGCTGCTGCGCTGCAGCGCGCCTACCTCGCAGCGCCGGGCAGCGAATAGGGCGTGTTAGGGTTTAGGGTTTAGGGTTTAGGGTTTACTTTTGATGGTGTTGTTGAGAGCCTCGAGCTCAACTGTTGTGTTGTGAATGAGCTGGACTTCCTGGTCGTCTAGAGCAGCAGCACACCAGTGGTTTTTGGAAGTTTTGTTGGTTTCAATTAATCCAAAAACTTTGTCAATGAACTGAACTTTGCGTTGGGTGTAGTTGAAGACCCTGGGGGGGAGGTGTCTAGACACCCGAGCGAGCAGCGCCGCCAGCTCCCGCCCGCAGCTGTAAACCACTTTTGTTATTTCCGAAAAAGAATTTCCCAAAAGTTCTCCCGAGGGCTCTTCAAAGAAATACAAGTCTTTTCGATAAATGCAAAGAGAGGGGGCGAAGGCCTTCACAGCTTCCATCAGCGCTGCCCGCTCGCTGCTGCCAAACTCCTCCTCCTGCTGCTGCTGCTGCTGCTGCTGCTGCTGCGCGGCCCGCACCAGGTCGCCGTAGCAGAAGGAGGCCGGCTTGGAGGAAAAGACAGAAAATAATGCATGCTGGTATTCTAAATAAGCTCCTGTTTCTTTGTTCAAGTGCAGCACAGCTTCTTCCACCCACTGCTGCAGAATCGAGCTGTAGATACACCGCGCCGTCTCGCCCAGCAGCAGCAGCAGCAGCAGCAGCAGCACGATGTACGAAGGCAGCACGCAACGCAGGTGCGACCGACGCAGCAGCTCCTGCTGAGCCACGGGGTCGTTCGGATCTGACGCGCAAACCACAAACACCAGCAGCAGCAGCAGCAGCAGCACCAGCAGCAGCAATGGAAAAACAGCAGGAGCAGCAGCAGCAAAAGCAGCAGCGGCAGCGGAGCCACTTCGCAGCAGCCAGCGCCACCTTTCTATTCTACTTCATCAACTGGGCGAAAGCCACTCAAAAATAAAACACCAGATCCAGCAATACCTAGCTAGCTGGCCAACTGGTGCAGAGAGGAAGGCGGTTAGAGCGTCTCAGTGGCTAGGGTTTCAAGTTGCGCTTGCCATTTAAATAAATAAATGAAAAGATGAATGCATAAATGAACAAAAACTTAGTTGATCAATGAACAAATTAATTTATTAACTAATCAACTAGTAGCTGAGGTTTATTGCTAATCTTTGTTACTGGGCCTTGCAAAAAGTCTGTATTGATGAATATAAATCCTTTTTAATTAATTCTTTCAAATAATACTTTTAATTGCACTTATAATCTTTTTTATTACCTTTTTTTACCTGGAGGAGCAGCAGACTTGCGCTTAAAGAAATGCCACCAGCGCTGCTGCTGCTGCTGCGGTGCTGCAGCTTTTGGGTCGTTCATGTTTGTTGGGGTATACGTACACCTCGCGTTCGCCGCAGCAGCTGTCCGGGTCCTAAATTTCGATTATTTTGTTTTTATTATTAATTAATTTGCCTTCTCTGCCTCTCAAAATGCCACAAAACAATTTTGACTTCCACTTCGCCTTTATTTCAAAAGGGTTCAGCGCAGCAGCTGAGGTGTACGTACACCCCAGCTGTTGCTCCTGGCCTGCCGGGCGCTGGATCTGATACTTCAGAGTTAATTTTATTTATTTTTCTTCTTGTTTCTTCTACATTTTGGCCTTTAAAAGCGAAATATTTAATTTAAAACGAATTTCCACTTATTTCTTCAGTCTCTTCGATCACGGCGAGAGCGCCGGGGCTGCTGCCCGCTAGTTGAGCGCAGCGGAGAGGCGGTTTGTTGAAAAGAGTTTTCTTTCCAAAGACCCAAAAATAAAAACTAATTTCAACTTCTAAATTCAACAATTATCATTTTTTGCTAAAGATTGAACTTGAACGCAGCCAGCTACTGTCCCAGAGGCTACGCGGTGCCCGTCGGGTGTATGTACAGCTAGTTGTCTTCACTCTTTTTACTTTTTTGATGATACCGAGGCTTTCCATTTATTCATTTTTAAAGATCCGGTTTATTAAGAGCTCCAATACCCGCGCTGCACCTGTGCTGGCTGCTGCGCGGCTGCTGCTGCTGCTGCAGCAGGGGGCCCTCACTGCATGCGCAGCAGCAGCAGCAGCAGCAGCAGCAGCAGCCCTGCTGCTACTGCTGTGGGGCCCCCCTTTAGCGCTTTTATTATTTACTGCCTCTAAGGAACCTTCTTTGAGTTCTTGTGCGCGCTAGGGACTCCTTTTTAACAAGGGGGGGCGGAGGCAATGGTTTAGGGTTTAGGGTTTAGGGTTTAGGGTTTGCAGCGCAGGGGCCTCAAGGCCACACTCGACTTCAGTCTTCAGCGCTTCTTCCGCCTCTTCCCTTCCCCTCTTTTTATCTTTTCAGCAGCAACAAGCTCTAGGGGATAGGGGCTAGGGTTTAGGGTTTAGGGTTTAGGGTTTAGGGTTTGAGGTAATGGCAGAGCTGTCAGAGAACTGGCGGCCGCAGCAGCTGCTGCAGTCCTTCTGCAGCCAAGCCGCATCCGTGACTGTGCTGCGTCTCAGCAGACCAGCAGCAGCAGGTGCAGCAGGTGCAGCAGCAGCAGATGCAACAGCAGCAGATGCAGCAGCAGCAGATGCAGCAGCAGCAGATGCAGCAGCAGCAGATGCAGCAGCAGCAGAGCCACTGGACGTTCTTCTTTCCCTGTACGGGGACTCTCTGTGCTGCGCTTTGCTGCCTGAGTCTGCGCGAGCAGCTGCAGCAGCAGACGCCGCAGCAGCAGCAGCAGCATCACCGGAAGCAGCAGCACCGGCAGCAGCAGCAGCAGCAGCAGCAGCCGAGCTGCCTCCCTACCTGCTGCAGCAATTCTGGGGCCCTCTGCGGCTGACAGACGAAGCAGTTGACGAGCCTGTTGCAGCATTTGCTGCTTGCCCCCTAGTACCCAGCAACAGCAGCAGCAGCAAAAGCAGCAGCAGCAGCAACAGCAGCAGCAGCAAAAAAAAGCGCAAAGAGGCAAGAGAGGCAAGCCCCTCTCTTGCTCTGGTGCTGACTTGTGGGGCCAGCGGGCTGCTGCGGCTGCTGCTTCTGAGCCTCAAGCCGCTGCAGCAGCAGCAGCAGGAGCAAGAGCCGCAGCAGCAGCAGCGGCAGCAGCAGCAAGATCCTGCCCTGCTTATTGCAGCGCAGCGGCTTGGCAGCAGCAGCGGCAGCAGCAGCAGCAGCAGCACCGATGGCAGCTTCCAGCCCTGGGCACGCCTGCAGCAGCTGCAGAAGTGGAAGGCAAGCGGCACTCTTGCTGCTGCGTCTGCTGTTGCTGCTGCTGCTGCTGGTGTTGCTGCTGCTGGTGTTGCTGCTGCTGAAGCTCACGGGACGTTGTTTGAGGCTCTCAGAGCCTTTAACTTAGGGATTAGGACTTAGCGCTCGGGAATTAGGGTTTAGGGTTTAGGGTTTAGGGTTTGGGACGTCCTGCTGCAGGGAGCTTCGAGTGTTGCTCGCGTTGTCGCTATTTCAGAGCCTCTAGCTGTATTTGACTCAGCAGCAGCAGCAGCTGCTGCTGCAGCAGCAGCAAGTGGTGCAGCAGCAGCAGCAGCAAGGCCAGTGCGCGTTGCTGCAGTTGGCTGCATCGGGGGCGAAGTCGAGCTGCTGCTGCTGCAGCAAACAGCAGCAATTCCTTGCTGCTCGCTGAAGCATCCAGCCTCAATTACAACTCTCAAGTAAGGCCACTGCTGCTGCTGCTGTTGCTGCTGCTGCTGCTGCTGTTACGGCTGTTGCTGCTGCGGCTGCTGTTGCAGAGACAGTGTTGCTCCTGCTTCAGCTGCTGCGGCGCCGTTGTTGCTGCAGCAGCAGCAGCTGCTACAGCTGTATTTCTTGCAGCAGCAGCAGCGGCAGCAGCAGCAGCAGCAGCAGGCTCTCTGGTTCCACTTCGATACAAATTACTTATTGATGACGCAGCTAAACCTTTTAATTGCTTATTCGTTTATTCTGCGCTGCTGCTGCTGCTGCTGCTGCTGCTGCTGTTGCTGCTGCTGCTTCTGCTGCTGCTGTGGGTGTTCAGGTTTCACTCCACAAGGGCCTTGCTGGCTGTGGGGGCTGCTGACGGTCTGCTGCGGGTGTACGATGTGTCGTTTGCTGCTGCTGCTGTAGCAGCAGCAGCAGCAGCAGGTTCTGCAGCAGCAATAGCAGCAGAACATGTCCCCTACATTACCCTAAGTGACCACATGAGCAGCATCACTGCGCTTTCTTTCCTCAGTGCTGCTGCTGCTGCTGCGCTGCAGCAGCAGCAGCAGCAGCAGCGGAGGCACAAGGCTGAGCAGGAGGCTCGCAAAAAACCAACAGCAGCAGCAGCAGCAGCAGCAGCTTTTGATGACTGTTTAGTGTCTGCTGCTAAAGACTCTCTGATTAATGTTTGGGCGCTGAGGCCCCTTTCGCACACAGCGGGGCTGCTGCTGCTGCCGCAGCAGCAGCAGCAGCAGCAGCACGACGAGCAGCAGCTGGTGCAGCAAATCAAGAAGAGCGCACTGCAGCTCCAGAAGCGGCTGCAGTTCCACCAGCAGCAGCAGCAGCAGCGGCAGCTGCTGCTGCTGCAGCTGCCAACAATAGAAACCATAACAGCACTTGCTGCTGATGCAGCAGCACCGCTGCTGCTCTCAGGGGGCTCTGAGGGCCTCGTGAAGCTGTGGGATTTGAGGAAGAGACAACCAGTCAAGGTTTGCTGCTGCTGCTGCTGCTGCTGCTGCTGCTTGTGCTGCTGTTGCTGCTGCTGCTGGTGGTAGTAGCAGCGGTAGTAGTTTCACTGCTGCTGCTGCCGGCAACTGTAGTGAAACAGCCGTTACTGCTGCTGCTGCTGCTGCTGCTGCTGCTGCTGCTGGTACTGGGTGCACCGCAATGGCGGTGATGCTGCTGCTATTTTGCGTTGCTGCTGCTGCTGTTTTGCGTTGCTGTTGATGTTGCTTCACGTTGCTGCTGTTGCAGCTGCACTTCAGGCTGTTCTGCTGCTACTGCTGTCAGTATTGACTGCTGCACAGCAGCAGCAGCAGTTGCTGCTGTGCCTTCTCGTCAAGACGTAGCTAATGCTGTTTCCCCTTCTGCTGCTGCTGCTGCTGCTGCAGGTGATGACAACAACAACAACAGCTTCTGCAGGGGCCTCTTCTGCAAGCGAAGAGGACCTGGGGGCTTTTATCCGCACGCTGCTGCTGCTGCCCGCAAGCAGCAGCAGCAGCAGCAGCAACAGCAGCAGCAGCAGCAGCAGCAGCAGCACGCTGCTGATTGCCCAGGACTCCGGCGTTATATCTCTCGTGTCTCCGCTGCCAGGCCTTGCTGCGCTGAGCGCGGAGGGAGGAGCAGCAGCAGCAGGACGCACAGCAGCAGCAGCAGCAGCAGCAGCAAGCAGCAGCAAAACAACAGCAGTGTGTCTCCTCGGGCGCCTAGATGGGACCTTCGCCTGCCGCTGGCTGCCACAGCCCCCTAATGGCTGCTGCTGCTCCTTTTGCTGCTGCAGCAAACGCAGGCAAAAACACTACTCCTCCAGTAACCCTAAACCCTAAACCCTAAGCCCTAAACCCTTCGGAGCACCGCAGCCAGCCCCACACAGGCCTTGGTGTTTGGGACTCAGGGTGTAGGGTCTAGGCTTTAGGGTCCAGGTTTTCGGGTATAGGGTTTAGGGTCTAGCGCTTAGGGCTCAGCGTTTAGGGTTTAGGGTTTAGGGTTTAGGGTTTAGGGTTTAGGGTTTGTTTGCAGGCTATCCCGGGCGGCTTCTGGTGCTGACGGGCGACAGCTGCTGCTGGCAGTTGGATTTGTCTCAGGGGTCTTTTGGGGCTTTTCCTGTTGCTGCTGATTTGCTGAAGTTTGGCCAAGTTGAACAGCAGCAGCAGCAGCAGCAGCAGCAGCAAACTCAGGCAGCCGCGGTCTCGTGCTGCGACGTCTCGAAGAATGGTCTGCTGCTGCTGCTGTCACGGCTGCTGCTGCTGGTGCTGCTGCTGCTGCTCTGTCTCCTGCTGCTGCTGCTGCTGTAGCTGTTGCTGCTTCTGCTGCTGCTGCTCCAGCCGCTGCTGTTGCTGCTGCTCCCTCTCCTGCTGCTGCTGCTGTCGCCTTTGGTTCCGTTTTGCCTCATCTACTGCTGCTTTTGGCTGCTGGCGTTGCTGCTGCTGCTCCGCGTGGCGCTGCTGCTGTTGCTGCGGCCGCTGCTCCACCGCAGCCAAACCCGAAACCCCAAACCCTAAACCCTAAACCCTATTGTGGTTCTTCAGGCTGCTGGATTGTAACTGGAGGAAGAGATGGCTCGCTGAGGGTTTGGCATTCCGAAGCAAATCGGCTTTTGCTGCTGATTGAAAAAGCCCACGAGGGCTGCGTCACTGCAGTGGCCTTCCAAAGAAAGAACTGGTCTGCTGCTGCTGCTGCTGCTGCTGCTAGTGCTGCTGCTGCTAATACTGCTGCTACTGCTAGGGCTGATGTTAAATCTAATGCCGCTGATGCAAGTGCTGTTGCTGCTGCTGCTGAGAATGGTTTTGCTGCTGCTTTTCCTGAAGATTCCTCTTCACTGCTGCTGCTGCTGCTGCTGCTGCTGAGGATCCCTCTGCTGCTGCTGCTGCTGCTGCCTGACGCAGAAGTTGCTGCGAATGGAGATTCGAGTCGTTTTGTGTTTGCTGCTGCCGTTGCAGGCCGAAGGCAAGCCCCGTGGTGCGTCAGCCTCCCCAGCAGCAGCAGCAGCAGCAGGAGCAGCAGCAGCAGCAGCAGCAGCTGGACTGTTTGTGTGATTGCCGAGGCCTCTCGCCAGCAGCACCTCAAACCCTTTCTTTCATTTCCTGCTGCGACAAAAACAGTTTGCGGCTGTGGCGGGTGGAAGTGCCCGCTGAGTTTATCTTGGGCAGCAGCAGCAGCAGCAGCAGCAGCAGCAGCAAGCCCCAAGTTAGCTACGAGTGCATCTCCACCATTGTCGCCCACAAGAAGGAAATTAATGACCTTAAATTCGCCCCCAACGACTCCGTAAACCCTAAACCCCAAACCCTAAACCCCAAACCCTAAACCCTAACATGTCTTTGAATGTTTCGCCTTACGGACAAAGCGTTTCCCGCCAGAGCTTCCGCACTTGGGGTCAAAGATCGGGCTTCCGCGCCTAGGGTTTAGGGTTTAGGGTTTAGGGTTTAGGGTTTAGGGTTTGGGGTGGCGCAGCTGGTGGGGACTGCGAGCGCGGACAAGACTTGTTTGCTGCTGCTGCTGCCGACGTTAGCTGCTGCTGGCGAGCTGCGGGGCCACCGGCGAGGAGTTCAAGAAATTCAATTTTTAAAAAGAGAAAAAGCAGCAGCAACAGCTTCTCTAGACGCCACTGTGCGTCTCTGGAGCCTTGCTTCCTTCGCCTGCCTCAAGACCCTCCAGGTAACTGCAGCAGCAGCAGCAGCAACAGCGGCAGCAGCAACGGCAGCGGCAGGGGCGGGGGCGGGAGCGGGGGCGCTGCGGGGGGAGGGGGGCCGGTGGACACGTCACAGCAGCGGCAGCAGCAGCAGCAGCAGCGGCAGTAGTAGTGGTAGGGGGTAGCAAGCCAGCAGCAGCAGCGCCTGCTGCTGCGCTGCTCCCTCCTGGAGTCTCACTGCCGCCATCTGCTGCTCCTGCTGCTGCTCCTGCTGCTGCTCCTGCTGCTCCTGCTGCTGTTGCTCCTGCTGCTGTTGCTCCTGCTGCTGCTGCTGCTCCTGCTGCTGCTGTTGCTCCTGCTGCTGTTGCTCCTGCTGCTTCTGCTGCTGCTCCTGCTCCTGCTCCTGCTGCTGCTGCTGCAGGGGGACAGCGGCTTCTTGAGTTTGCGGCTGCTGCCTCTGGAGACGCAGCTGCTGGCTTTTGCTGCTGACGGCTCTGCCCGCCTCTTCAACTGCCGCACCGCCGACTGCGCAGCGCAGCTGCCGCCACTCCACACTGACAAGGTGCAGCTAGCTAGCTAGCTAGCTAGCTAGCTAGCTAGCTAGCTACATGTAGCTAGCTACATATCTCGCTAGCTAGCTAGCCAGCCATAGAAAAGCTAGCTCGCTAGCTAGACACAGGGCAGCTAGCTAGAAAGTTAGCTAGCCAGCCAGCTAGCCAGCTAGCTGGCTAGCCAACTAGCTAGTTAGCTAGCTAGCTAGCTAGCTAGCTGGGCGAGAGTGCTGCGTGCAGGTGTGGGCGTTGGACCTGTGGGGCTGCGCCGCGGCCTCTGCGGGGGCCGATGGGCGTCTTTGTGTCTGGCGAGATGTTACTAGAGAAGCAGCAGCAGCAAAAAAGGTACTTTGCTGCTGTGCTGCAGCTAGCTAGCCAGCTAGCTAGCTGGGGACAGTTAGCTACGGCTAGCTGGCTAGGGACAGCTGGCTGGCTGAAGCTCCCGAGGCAGCTGCAGCTGGCTAGCTAGCTAGCTGCAGCTAGCGAGCCAGCTGGCTACAGCTGGCGGGCTAGCTGGCTGGTGCGAGCTAGCTGGCTAGCTAGCTAGCTGGCTAGCTAGTGGCTGGTAGAGGAGTGGACCCTGCCGTGTGCAGCGTCTGCTACTGCTGCAGTTGCTGTTTTTGCTGATACTGCTGTTGTTGGTGCTGCAGCTGGAGGCGCTGGAGGAGCAGCAGCAGCTTGCTGCAGTGCAGCAGCTGGAGGCTATGGGCCGCAGCAGCGACGTGCTGCGGCTGCTGCTGCGGCTGCGGAAGAAGCATCTTGCTGCTGCTTTTATAAAGCGGCAATTAGTTGCTGCTGCTTCCAGGTGTCTAGACACCCGAGTTCCTGCTGCACTGGCGCGGCGGGCGGACGCGCGCGGGCTGCTGCAGCTGCTGCTGGAGCAGCAGCAGCTGCAGCAGCTGCAGCAGCAGCAGCAGCGGGAGCTGCAGCGGACGCTACAGCAGCAGCTGCAGCGGCAGCAGCAGCAGCCGCCGCAGGGAGCCTGCGAAGAGACCGACTGGGGGGCCCTCGTCGGGTGTCTGGACACCTCAGAAGCAAAAACGCTTTTAGGGTTTGCTGCAGAATGGGCAGCAGCACCAGCAACAGCAGCAGCAGCTCACGGGCTGCTGCACTTGCTGCTGCGCAGCAGGAGCCTGGACGCCCTCCTCAGCAGCAGCAGCAGCAGCAGCAACAGCAAGGAACTGTGGGGCAAGAGGCTGAGCATTGGGGGAAAGCCAGCAGCAGAAGTGCTGCAGGTGCTGCTGCTGCTGGCAAACAGACAAGAGCGCCGCGTTGCTGCTCTTCTTGAAAAGTCTTATCTTTTGGATTTGCTGCTGCCCACTGCTTCCGTGGTGCAGCAGGAGCTGCAGCAGCTGCTGCAGCCCCTCCAGCAGCAGCACCAGCAAAGGAAGCAGAAAGAAACAGCAGCAGCAGCAGCGGCCGCTGCAGAGGAACCGGGCGGCAAGAAGAAGAAAAGGAAGCTGCAGCAGCAGCAAGAGCAGCAGCAGCAGGAACAGCAGCAGCAGCAGCAGCAAGAGCAGCAGCAGCAGCAGCAGCAGCTGCTGCTGCTGAGCGCTGAGGCTCTGGAGCCGCATTTTGCTGCTGAGTTCACGCAGCGCTGCCTCTATGGGGAGCTGCAGCTTTAAATAAATATATTTGATTTTATTTATTTAATTTTTATTTATTTTTAATCAATTTTTATTTATTTTATCTGTCTAGTTTTATTTATTTATTTATTCAGTTTATCAGGCTTCAATTTGCTGTCTAGGGTTTAGGGTTTAGGTCATTTCTTTGAATTTCTTGCCACTCCTTGGCATTTCTGAAACCCTAACCCTAAACCCTGATATTGAACCCTAATGGTAAACCCTAATTCTAAACCCTAATCCTAAACCCTAATTCTAAACCCTACTGCTGCAGCGAAAAGTGGCAAAGTGCAGCAGCAGCAAAAAAAGCGAATGAGGAAACAAGAAGAAAAAAAACAGCAACAGCATTTCCGTCTCTCCTAAACCCTAACCCCCAAACCCTAAACCCTAGACCCTAAACCCTAGTTGGCTGTTTCGGAGAAAACTGGAAGAGAGGAGAAAGACAAAAGGAACGAACAAGTAAAACAGTTCCAAAACTCATTCGCTGCAGCTGCTGCTGCTGCTGTCTGCTGCTGCTCCGCGTCTGCTGCTGCTGCTGTGCTGCTGCTGCTGCATCTGCTGCTGCTGCTGCTGTTTTCGATACTTCATTTTGGACGCGGAGCACTTTTGTTTTTTATCTCCTTCTCCCTCTTTTGCTGGGGACGCATCTATATTTAGCTGCTGCTGCTTTATTTCCTGCGGCTGCTTCTGCTGCTGCTGCTGCAGCAACCGCAGCTGCTTTGGGCCTCCGGCCTTTTGCTCTCTTACGCTCCTGAGAAAAAGTTGGAAGTAAAGTTTGATTCGATTTTATTTAATTTTATTCTAATTAATTTAATTTAATTTAATTAATTTAATTTAATTTAATTCATTTAGTTCAAGTTGGGTTTGAGTTAAAAAGCTGAAACTGATGGATGCATGCATCAAGTGCATGCATGCATGCATGCATGCATGCAAGCACTTGCATTCTTTGGTTTTCACTTTTTTGCAATTATATGAAATTATATTCCATTTTCATTTATTGAATGATATTTCATTTGTATTTATTTAAAGTGTGTTTTATTTATACTTATTTGAATTATATTTCATTTATATTCATTCAAATTATTTCCATTCATGCTGCATGCAGTGAGCTCAGGTGTACATACACCTGAACGAGCGCAGTGTTTATGGCGTTGGTTACTTTTTGACCCAAATTAAAATTTAAATTAATTAAAATTAATTGAAATTAACTTTAATTAATTTAATTTAAATCGATTTAAAGCATTTAAAAGGGATAAATAAGAGGACAAAGGGAGGAAAATAAAAGAACAAAAAGACAAAAAATAAAAAGAGAAAAGAAAATAAGTAAAAAGAAAAAAGATAATTCAAAGGAACAGAAGGAAACAAATAAAACGGCAAAAAGAGATTGATAAGGGGGACAAAAAGAAGCAAATAAAAGAATAAAACGAGACAAACAAAAGAATGAAAGAACACAAATGAATGGGCAACAGGAGACAAATGAAGAGACAAATAGAAGGACAGAAGAAAAGAATTAAAAGAACAAAAATATTAAACGGATAAAGACAAGACAATTAAAAGGACAAAAAGAGATAATTGAAAATGCAAAAGAAGACAAATAAAGGAGATAACAGAAAATAAAAAAACCAAAAAGGAGACAAATAAAGAAACAAATAATAAAGAGACAAGTAAAAGAAAAAAGAAACGGAATTAAAAACAAAAAGGGAAATTAAAAATAAAAAAAAGAAATTAAAAATAAAAAATAACTCACCTTCCGCTCCAGCATTCTCCTCACTGCCGGCGGCAAACGACTTTTCTCTGAAAATAAGAAATAAAAATGAATAAATAAATGAATAAACTTAATAAATTAACCAATTAATTTAATTAATTAAATTCACTAATTAATAAATAAATTAAATTTAATTAAATTAATTAATCAAATTAATTGATTAATTGTTAGACAATTAAATTGTTTTAATTGTGAAAAAGAAACGGAAAATAAATCTGTCGCTTTAAATCAATAAAACGTGAGAGGAGATGGAGAGAAAAAGAGAAAATAAAAAATAAAAAATAAAAAATCTAAAAAAATAAAAGAAATAAAAAGGGAATGAAAGACAAAATATATGAAAGGAGAACAAAACAAAAAAGAAGAAAAAGAAATAAAAGTAAAAACAAATAACAAAAACGGAATGAAAGAAATTGAAAGACAAATAAAAGATTAAAAGAAAAAAATTAAAAGACTAAAAAAAGAAAAAGAGTTAAAGGGGATAAAAGGAAAAAAAGTAAAAGATTAAAAAAATAAAAAGAAAATAAAAGAAAAAAATAGAGAAATAACGAAAGTAGAAACAAACAAAAGAAAAATGAAAAAAAAAGAAGAGGAGAAAAAAGTGGGAATAAAAAATAAAAAAGAAAAATAAATATGAAATTAAAAATTAAAAATAAAAAAGAAGTTTCAAAACAACACGAGAAAACAAAAAACAAAAATAAAAATAAAAAAACAGGAGAAAAAGAAAGACAGAAAAGGAGACAAGTAAACAACAAAAAGTGACAAAAAATGAACAAAAAAAGAAATGAAAAGAGACAAAAAACGAGACAAAAAAAAACAAAAAGAGATATAATAAAAGGGACAGAAAGAAGCAACGAAAGGAGATAAAAAAAGAAACAAAAGAGAGTTAAAGAGGACAAAAAAGGAAAACAAAAAATAAAAATAAGAAGTAAAAATAAAGAAAGCAGCAGCAACTCACCACTCCGCTGCTGCTTCTCCTTAAGTGCTGCTTTCGCTCTGCACTCTTCTTCCGACAAGGCCTTCATGACACGCACTGGATGTCCCTGCAGCAGCAGCAGCAGCAGCAGCAGAAGCAGCGGCAGGAGCAGGAGCGGAAGCAGCAAACGCAGCAGCAGCAGCAGGAAGAGCAGCAGCAGCAGCAGGGAGAGCAGCAGCAGGAAGAACAGCAGGTGAGAGTGCAGCAGCAGCAGCTGCCGCTGCATTTTGGGGTTTTGAATTTAAATCATTTTAGGGTTTATTTACGGCCGTTTACGCATAGAGAGAAACTGCTGCTAGGGTTTAGACAAGGGTTCAGACTAGGGTTTAGATTCGGGTTTAGATTAGGGTTTAGGGTTTAGGTTGCTGCTAACCGCAGCACTGCTGCTGGCGAGGAGAGCTTTTGCTGCTGCTGCTCTGTCAGCAAGTCTGCGGCCTAAGTGGGCCTCGAAAGAGGGCTTAGGGTTTAGGGTTTAGGGTTTGTGCTAACCGCAACGCTGCTGCTGGCGAGGAGAGCTTTTGCTGCTGCTGCTCTGTCAGCAAAACAGACGAAGCCAACTCCCAGGCTGCTGCGGCTGCTGCGGCTGCGCAGCAGCCGAATTTCTGTTTCAAAAAAACAAATTATCATTTTAATTTATTTTATTCATTTAAAATAAATAATTTACTTCCAAAACACCTGCCGCAGCAAATGGATACGTGCAAAAAGATCTACCAAACAACCACAAAACAGACGAAGCAGCAGCAGCAGCAGCAGCAGCAGTAGCAGCAGCAGCAGAACGCGCAGCAACGCAGCCGCAACAGAACAGCCAGCAGCAGCAGCAGCAGCAGGGCACTCGGCAGCAGCAGCACCACCATCAATCACCACCAATCCATCCCCAATCACCACAAGCACCTGCAGCAGCAGCAGCAGCAGCAGCAGCAGCAGGGCTGACTCTGGACTTCGCCGAAAGCAGCAAAAGTTTCTTTGAGGTCTTTTTCTGAGGCCTCCACAGAAAGGCCTCCGACAAAAATAGTTCTTTTTCTGTCGAATAAAGAAAAGCCAAAACGAGCAGCAGCGTCAACTCGCAGCTCGCGGCCCCTGAACGGCAGCAGCTGCAGCAGCAGCAGCAGCAGCAGCAGCAGCAGCAGCAAACGCGGATAAGCGGCAGCAGCTGAACGGACACTCGCATGCACTGCAGAAACGCCTATGCAGCTGCTGCAGCAACGGTGGCAGCTGCAACAGCTCCAGCAACAGCAGGAATGGCAGCAGCGACAGCAAACAGGAACAGCAACAGCAGCAACAACAGCAGCAACAACAGCAGCAACAGCAGCAGCGGCGCTAAGGAGTCCGCCTCATTACCTCTTTCTTCAAAATCGTTTTGAGCAAACTTTCGTCTTTTAAAACTATATACGCATTTTGGATGTCACAAGACTGCACAGAGCAGCAGCAGCAGCAGCAGCAGCAGCAACCTGTGGTGCAGCGGAGCAGCGCCAGCGTACAGTCATGGCGGCAGCAGCAACAGCTGCCACAGGAGGCAGCAGCAACCAGGCCTGGCAGCGCCAGCAGCAGCAAATGCGACAGCAGCACTCGCAGCAAGTGGAGCAGCAGCAATCACAGCAGCAGCAGGAGTAGCAGCAGCACCAGAAAGTGTGGCAGCAGCAGCAAGTGCACCAGCAGGAGAAGCAAAAGTAAGTGCAGCAGCAGCACCAGCAGCAATACGGGCGGCAGCAGTATCGGCAGCAGCAGCAAGCGGAGTACAAGCAACGGCAGCAGCAGCAAGTGGGTCCGCAGCAGCGGTAGCAACAGCAGCGGCAAGCGAAGCAGCAGCAGCAGCAGCAGCAGCAGCAGCAGCAGCAGTACACTGAATTGCTTCCTCGCAATGGCAGCGCGGCGGCAGTTTTGGAATTGAGCCGCCACAGGAACGGAGCGTAGCCTCATCTGCAACAGCAAACACGAGCAGCAGCAGCAGCAGCAGCAGCAGCAGCAGCAGCAGCAACGGCATTAAAAGCACTGCAGGAATGAAAACGAGCGCCGAAAGACGCAGGACCAGCAGCAGCAATAACAGCAGCAGCAGGAGCAGCAACAGCAGCAGAAGCAGCAGCAAACAAGAGCAGCAGCAGCAGCAACAGCAGCAGCAGCAACAGCAGCAGCAGCAAACTGAGCACTCACGGATTCGACTTGGGACTTCTCGAGTCCGAGGTGTCTGTACAGCTCAGCAGGTTTAAACTGATCTCTAACTGGCAAATTTCCAACAAATAAAGTCCGTTTATTTTTTTCTTCTCGCGTTTCTGCTGCTGCTGCTGCTGCTGTTGCTGCTGCTGCTGCTGCTGCTTGGGGTTCACCGCCTGGTGCGTTCCCCGCAGTAGCGGCTGCTGCGTCATCGGCCTTTGGGGAGCGCTTCCTCTTGCCTGCTGCTGCTGCTGCTGCTTCTGCTGCTGCTGCTTCTGCTTTTCCTGCTGCTGCTGCGGCAGATACTATGGCCTTCGCTCCCCTCTTCTGTCTGTGTGCTGCAACAGCAGCAAACAGCAAACTGCAGCTTCGCCGATTCAAAGTATAAAGCAGCAGCAGCAGCAGCAGCAGAAGCAGCAGCAGCAGACCAACATGTACCTGAATTGCCGATAGCAGCGCTCTCTGCACGAGTTCCAGCCGCGGCTGCTGCACCGTTGCTGCTGCTGCTGCTACTGCTGCTGTTGCTGCTGCTGCTGCTGCTGCTCTGCGAAGCTTGACCAAAAATGGTTCTTATTTTCTCAAGCCCTGCATCTTCTGCTGCTGGAATTTCTGTCTTTTGTTTTTTCTTTTTTTCTGCTGCGCTGTCGGCGGCTTCGCGTTTCTTCCTTTTGAGCTGCTGCGCTGCTGCGCTGTTGCAGCTGTCTGCTGCTGCTGCTGCTGTTGCTGCTGCTGCAGACTGGAGGAGCGAAGTCAAAGTCCCCGGAGTGTACGTGGAGCTCGGCTGCTCTGCAGCTGCAGCAGCTCCTGCAGCTGCTGCATGCGGCTCCAGCCTTCTGGCCTTTTTCTTCAGTTTTTGCTTTTCTCCTTCCGCAGATTTGATCTTCGCCATGTTAGCAAATATTTAGAAGATTTAAAAGAATAAAAAATGAAAAAGTGCCGTCGGACCTGCTGAGGCAGCTTCAAGTGTTCTGGGGGCCACGTAGGCAGCAGCAGCAGCTCCGCGCCCGCGCCGCCGCTGCCGTCGATTCTGCAGCAAACCCAACAAATATATTCAACTTGGAACTAAGTAATTGAAACAAAATTATAAAATAAACAAAATAGAAGGTTTAAATGCGCGGACATGCGAAAACAGGGGCGCCGAGAGCCCCCGCATGCTGAAACTCCTTCCGGGCCACCGGGAGCTCGATTGTTGGGCGAGCTGAATGGGAATAATTGGAAAGAAAAAAGCCGCTATCCTCAAATCCATGGAATTTAAATTCATTTTTACGTGGAAATTCAAAAAAAAGAAAAGAAATATCTCATTTTAGTACACACATTCGAAATTTCAACTTGGCGCGACTGCGTGTCTTCCCGCCCCGGGAAACTCGGGTGTACGTAGACCCGAACTTTCGCTGTGAAACTCTCCCCAAAACTCTGCTGTACGTGCACTGCAGCAGCCACTACATTTTAAGTAAATACTGGAACACGACTAAGATATTGGGAAACAGGCTTTAAAGTCTGGGGTTTCGGGTGTAGGGTCCAGGGTTTAGGGTTTAGGGTTTAGCGTTTAGGGTTTTCGTGGATTCCTGCATAAGAGGAGAGCGCCATTCCTGGTCTATCTGCTCAGAAAGCGGCGTGATCTGCCACTAATGGCAGCAGCTTTGATTTCAAATTGAATTAAAAAAGAATCTTTGCAGCAGCAGCAAAGAGCAATTAGTCCCGAAATCTGTTGCTGCTGCAGCTGCAGCAGCAACACTGGGGAGTGTTGCTGCTGCTGCTGCTGCGGTAGCAACGCCGAAATGTGTAATTGCTGCTGCTGCAACCCGGCCTGCTGCTGCTGCTGCTGCATGCGTCCCACCGAACCACCAGCTGCTGCTGCTGCTGGACTACCCGCTCAAGTTGCTGCATGCTGCTCGAGTCACTTCAATCCCATGCAGTTTCTTTGAAGTGTACATACACTCCATCAGCACTGCAGTTCGAAAACGCCACAAAGACCGTAGAGGTCCCCACACTGCACTCGAAGACGAACTTGCAGCAGCAGCAGCAGCAGCAGCAGCAGAAACAGCAGCAGCAGCAGCACAAACAGCAGCAGCAACAGCAGCAGCGAGTTGGGTCCTTCTGGTGATGCTGGAAGGGTGTTGCTGCTGTCATAAAGGCGGCAGAAGCGTCGCTGTGTCGCTGCACTATTGTTGTTTAGCAGGGAACTAGAAGGCTAAAACCTAAACCCTAGACCCTAAACCCTAAACCCTAAACCCTAAACCCTAAGCCCTGAAGGCCACAGCCAACTCCCAAAACCTCCAACTAAGCTTCTTGGGGTTTGAGAATGGCCCAAAAGCCTGAGGGGCCCTTTTGCTGTTTCTCTAGAGGGTTTTTTAAGCCTTTATTTCCGCACACAGTTTTTTTTTTTCAATTTTGTTTATTAAATTTAACTCGAATCAAAAATAAACGAATTTGCTGCTGCAGCAGCAAAGCCAAAACTCCCGCAGCAGCAGCACCAGGCTTTCTGCAGAGCCTTCGCAAATATCTTCGCAGGCTGTGCGCTGCTGCTGCTGCTGCTGGTGTGCTGTGGGCAGTGCCTTTCTCACAAACAACTAAAATAAATAAAAAACCTTATTAGAGTAAAAGGGAATTAATTAGACACAATTACTTGGCATAAAAAGGAAGAAAATGTTTCAGAAGAAACCGCTGCAGGCCACTGCGCACTTCGTGCAGGTTTTCAAGTTGATCAGAAAGACGCAAACGGCTCCGGTGTTCAGGCTTTTAGGGGGAATTCCGAGTGAATCTGAAGAAAATTAATATTTTAAAAGCTTGATAATAATAAATAAGTGACTGTCACTCACTTGTGCTGGCCTGCAGTTGAAAAATCTCCCCAGACAACGAGCATTCAACTTCGAGCCGGCTGCGTCAAGCAGGAACGGAGCGCGGGAAAGCGCGGGAAAATTCAGTTGTTTCGTTAATTAATGGTTCAAATTAAATTCAATTTGCGAAATTTAAACTGATTTTAGAATTTGCAAGTTTGCGGATCGCAGCGTAGTGAGTGCAGCGGGGGTTTCTGCAAGAGCGGGCTCCTCGCTGCTGAGCGTCTGGCCGCGCTGCTGTTTCCGCGCAAACTCGAGCAGAGAAAGGAAGGGATCAACTCAAATAAACCCTAAAATGGTTTTGAAACAGAAAAAGAGGCAAAAGGAGGAATTTATGATCTGTTTCGTGGCTTCCGACGGCGCGGCCTGGACGCCGACGCAGACAGACCACTGGCACGCCAGCCAGCGGCAGTGTCCACCGACAGGCGGCGGATCCGGGGGAAAGCGCCGTCATTTGTTACTTGTTGATGGAATTAAATTGAAATAAATAAAATCTGAATTGCTTTTGATGCGCCTGTCGCCTGTTGCTGCCGCATCTCACGCGGATCCTTCGCAGTTCTTGTGGCTCTGCTGACGCAGACACAACTGAACACCGCTTCCTGAAACCCCCCTCCTTCTGTGTCTCAAAAGACCTTCTTTTCTTTTAGCAGCAGCAAAACAGAAGCAGTAGCGAACGCGCTGCAGCGCAGGCTCAATGAAATGCCGCACCTAGTACTGGCGTCGTTTGGGTTTGCCTTGGCAGCAGCAGCAGCAGCACAGCACGGGTGTGCAGACGGCGCGGACTGCAGCAGCGCCTCCCCTCAGGCACTGCGAGGTTTGCTGCTCTCTCCGCACGCTTCGCAGCAGCAGCAGCAGACTCGGCTGCAGCAGACGCAGCAGCAACAGCGCCGCGCCGCAGCTGCAGCAGCCCCTGAGCTGTCAGGGCCCTTCCCTTCGATCGAAACGCCCTAATGGAAAACATTAGACCCCCATGTGCCAACTCGATGGACCTTGAGAGGCAGCAGGAGGGCCCTGAGGAGCAGCAGCAGCAGCAGCAGAAGCAGCAGCAGCAGCAGCAGCAGCAGCAGCCCGGGAATGCCGCCGGGGAGTCGCCCGCGCAGCTGCTGCCGCCGCCTGCGCCACCACCGCAGCTACTGCTGCTGCAGCCCGTGCAGCAGCAGCTGGAGCAGCAGCAGCAGCAGCAGCAGCGCAGCGAGGGGCCCTGGCGGCCGCGGCCGCAGCAGCTGACTGTGCAGTCGCTGCCCATGCCCTGCCAGGGGCCCCTGCAGGGCCAGGGGCCCCTCGAGCTGGTCCAGGGGCCCCACGAAGTGCTGCCGCAGCCGCAGGGTTTGGAGGAGGGGGCCCCCCTTGTGGGGGGCTTGTTGGGGCCCCCTGCGCCTTCGGGCTTCCCGCTGCTGCAGCAGCTGCAGCAGCAGCAGCAGCAGCAGCTGCAGGAAGAAGCAGCAACTCTTGCTGAGGGCATTGCCCCCTTGCCTATTGTACCCTTACCCACCTTCGTGGGGGTACCCCTTCCTGTGGCAGTGGAGGCCCCCAGGACCCCGGGGGGCCCCCCGGGGGGCCCCCCAGATTCTGTTTCCCTCACAGTGCTGCAGCACCCCCCTGAGGGGGGCCCCCCTCCCTGCGGTGAGTGGCCCTTCTCGAAACCCTAAACCCTTTAAAAGGGCTTGCGCAACACGCTGCAGCCCGCTCGCGGGCTCTGCAGGTTCCAGCGTTTACCCAGGGTCTAGGGTTTAGGGTTTAGGGTTTAGGGTTTGGCGTGTGGGCGTGGTGCGCAGAGGGTGTGCTGCAGCAGAGCCCGCAGCAAGCAGCAGGCGAAGCAGCAGCCCATTTTGCTGCTGGAGCTCCCCCGACATTTTTCCTCGGGGGCCCCGAGGGGGGCCCCCCTGTGTCTCCTCTTTGCATATCTGAACAGCTGGGGGTTTTCCATTCAGCAGCAGCTTCTCCTGCTGCAGCACCAGCCTCGGCGTCGGCCAGCCTCCCGGGGCCCGCAGCAGCAGCAGCAGCAGCAGCAGCAGCACCTCCCTGCATGCGCTCCTGCGTCAGTGCCATCAGCGGCCAGGCCTACGAGGACCTGGGGCCCCTGGGGGGCCCCCCGGGGGCCTCCACTGTAGCTCAGGGGGCCCTTTATTGTGGCCGCAGTCCCCACGGGCCCCTGCCCTCTTCTATTGTCTTCCTCCCGGGGGCCCCGGGGGCCCCCGGGGACCCCGGGGCCCCCGGGGCC